CCCCCCAGCATTTCATCAGGTTTTCTTGACAATTCACTAGTGCCCATTTCTACTCCTGGGTGGGGAGAGGCACTGTGAAAGTAGAGTGTGCTCCCCGAGAACACAACACTATGACCTGACCAGGGCCTGTTTCTAGAAGGTCCCGGTGACTTGACGGGCCCGTAAAGTTGTTCTGTCTTCATTCAAGATGGGGGTTTCAAAAGCTTTGAGAATGATACTAGAAAACTAGCCGCTTAATAAACATAATGGACTGGTTAGGGTGTCAGAGCCTGGTACCCTATTCTTTAACTTTTGATTTTAAAATATGGCTTCGGGCCAGTTAAGTTGCCAGAACTTTCGTAAAACGGGCCCCCTGTCTCGAACCCGGGCCACTCGACTCGCTAACCATTACTTCACCGTGTTCTCACTCCAATAAATGGTCAGCTAAAAATAACCAGAACAGTTTAAAATTGTTGGACTTTGTTTTGCAAGACTCAGCTTGTTTGAAGACCTAGCTACTACCTTTGGCGTGTGAAAATTAAAAATTAACAGACCAAGTAGATGAATCGATACTCAACTTTTATGACAGCTTCATAAAATTTGTTTTCTCCCTCTTCCGTAGAGAAGTGATACAAAAACATTCACTCAATAACAAATGAAAATACTGGCTTGCTTTTTGTTTTGTTTTGTTTTTTTTTTCTGTTTCTGCCTTACCTGCCTCACTTCAGGTGAGTTATAGGACAAAATGTTGGCGTAATAATTCACCGGAATTTTCATCCCACGCGGCGGTGACGCTGGTCTGCGGTAATTCTTGTCTGAGTCTGCGAGATTGAAGGCAAAAACGTACTCGGAGTCCTTAATTGACGTGTAGTAATAAGTGGAAGGTAGAGTCACGAGCATTACGCCGTCTTGGAAATCTCCTTTTGGAATGCTTCTGATGGCGTCTTCGATTCTAAGGGAGCCAGTTTCGCCATCCATCATGGCTTTAGCGACTGTGTTAAACTCCGCTGGTTTACCATTTCGCTGTTCTAGAGTGCTAATTGGAATGAAGATTGGGTCATCCACAAGCTGGGTGAGGAAAACAAAACAGCAAGTCAAAACACAACATGAATTATCCAGGATATTTCAAAGATATGTTCACCGTACGGTTTTCATCCTACAATTTGCACAGAATTCATATCCTAGCCCTTCCCAATCCAAAAAACAACGACTTACGGTCTGTACTCTTTTTCATACTTAGCTCGAAAAATATGGAACTCTCTCCCAGACACTTGTATAACATTAAATTTTCTAAATTCATGCTGGAGATCCTCAGACATGAATCTTTTCCACAGTGGATCTACAAGTTATATTTCTCTCTGCATGCATAATGTTGTACAGTTTATAAATAATATTGAAATTGTAATATAGCATAGTTTATTTTATTTTAGCTTATTTTCTTGAAGATTAGCTCCACAGTAGATCTAAAAGTTATATTTCCCTCTGCATGCATAATGTTGCACATAGTTTATAAATAATATTGGAATTGTAATATAGCATATTTCATTTTATTTAGCTTGTTTTCTTGAAGTTGTTAGCTCTACAGTTACACTGTAAATTTCGAGCATAAATAAAGTATATGTATGTGTATGTGTGTGTATGTGTTTGTATGTGTGTGTGTGTATGTGTGTATGTTTATGTATGTATGTATGTGTGTGTGTGTGTGCGTGTATGTGTGTGTGTGTAACTGACACGTAAAGAGCTGTACACTCAAACATATCGTTTAACTGTCACGTAAAGAGCTGTACACTCTAAAAACCATGGCTAACAGGGGATTTAAAAATTAGGGTTACGGGGAAAGATTTCCGATGCACATTAGATTCATGTTTTGACAAAATACTTTATAACGCAACAAGAACATTTTTTAGCGCGGCACTGTCGGCAACATCCGAACCCAGGCTCCTCTCGACAAATATGACAGATACTACAGGCATCGTCTGAACCCAGGCTCCTGCTCGACAAATATGAAAGTTACCGTTCCTGAGAACAGTTGTTCCTGAGACTTCTTTCGATTATCAAAGGTGTGTTCTGTTACTTTGTTGTAATACGAGGCTGGTACAGAGGCAATAACCATAATAACCATAATAACCACGTTCAAATCAAAATTTGCTGCTAACTTTTCGTGTGGTAGGTAAATATTACTTCCTTTCGCTTGCCTGCAGTTAAAATTTTGTGGGATATTATCTAATTTTTATCTAATCATGAATGGTAAAATTGTCTGTAGAGCTGCAAATTAAAAAAAAATTTTTCTTTGACTCTGTGTTAGCAAACGTGTTTTGAAAAGCCGGCCAATAACGTCAACGTTTTTTTCAGGAAAATAGTTTTATTATTATCCAGGCGACTCCACGCACTGTTATGTCCTCAGTTGACATAAAGTTTCGTTTATTGAGGTTAAATAAGCTACAACGGTTTCGAAGATAAAAGAAAAGGTCAGAGGATATCGACAAATCTAAAGTTCGCCGCATATATGCTGTAGGAGAACCATCGAACCTTTTGAGATGTTTCTTGCTTTTGATTTTCTGGTTTAACTCCCAGCGAGTCAGCAAGTTGTTGATCTATCGTTCTAGCTTGAGGTATCTGTGCATAAAACCTTGGTACGCCACCATTCAACTAAAAAATAGCGCGCTGCAAATTTAAGCAATTGGAATATTGGTGTGGCCATGTTTAAATGAAAGATTTTAATCACTATTTAGGAAGTACTTTTTCCAATGTTTAACACAAATACACGACTACTTTAATATTCCCTCCAATCTGTTGAGTTCATCGTTCAGTTTTTGTTGTATGTTTGTGTGAAACAAGAAACGTGACGGGAAAGAAGAAGAACCTGTGAATTTGCCTCCCAGTTCCATTGGTAGTAGCGCTAAACTGGTATCTACGAAGTACGTATTCGACTCCCGTCGAAGCCTCATTTTTTTTTTTTCAACCTTCTTTTCTGCAATTGTTTAAATTGCAAGTCACCTGCGAGGATCATGACTTTATTTGACAAATGTATTTGCAGTATCCATCTTAAAAATAGAAGTCTCCTCAATTACTACAGAAAAAATATAGATGTTCACATAACCCATAACATAACAGTTTTCTTGTTTGTTTTAATAAAAGCGGCTGATCGCCCTTTAATAAACACAAACCAATTTCAAGATAAATGAAAGTTGTGAACCCGCCTTCCGAATAAGGAATATCTAACGAGCATATGGAAGCGCATTGAAAATTTGGCCGCCGCGTCAAAATTTAAAGATCAATTTTGTGAATTCCCTTTGTGGCTTACTAAGCCTTGTGTAAACTACTCAAAACTAAGTGCAAAATGTATGAAATAAGATTGAATACAAATTGATTATTAGAGTACAGCGAGAGTGCAAATAACCGTGGTAAACAAAACCATAGAATAGAAATTCTATCAAGTTGAACACGAATGGGAAATCTTGAATATTATACCATTACCTTCACACCCCGCTAACAGTTTTAAAAATATTTTCCTTTTTCTGCAGTTACCGGTCTTAGTTTGCTGCACATTTTCCTGTTTAAAAACACAATATCATACTCAAGCCGTAGATCACTAAATCTTCTCTTTTAAAACAATATCCTCATTCAGTATTACATGCGTGTAAGTCCAGTAGCGCTTAATATATTCCGTACGCACAAAACCATTTGTGAATTTAATGCAAGCTGCAAGCTGTTGGCCGGAAAACAAATATACATTCAAACATGTAAACCAGTTTTTCAAACAAACAATGGAGTAGAAATTGGAATTTCTAAATGCGAAAATTACGTCGGGAAAAATTACAACTGCTACCAGTTCGAGAGTCATTGAAAAATTTAAACTTATTCAGATCATAAGAGTACTACACTTATTAAAATAGCTTATAATTTAGACGAGCACTTGGCGGCCCCAAGGGTTAAACCTACTAAAGCGGAAGACAATTGGGCAAAGAGGATTAGGCCAATTAGAATCTGAATAGGTCGGCATATGGGGTTACTAAGCGGGATGAAAAACGAAAAAAAACGTTAATGTTGCGGGCATACAAAGATCTTTTTTCAGCATATGGTCGACAGAAGGCCGGAACAGAAAGACGAGGGAGAATAAGGAAAGAAGAATGCCACTCACTAAAATCAACCAAAATCGAATGAAAAAGGCATTGAATTGAAGACAATGACAGGAAATTCTACAAACGATGGTTCTAAGTTATCTGTAGAAATTATCTTATATATTATGCCGCTCACTGGAATCATAGCCAACACATTCGCCATTCTGTCTTCTGCTAGACTGCTCCAAATGCAACCACTTAGTCCTAACGTCTTCGTGCTTGGGTTATCATGCATCGACCTAATCTCCATCACTTTCTTTTGTGTTCCATCTTGGTTATTCTACATCAAAGGCGAACGGGTTGGCGGGAAAAAACTTTGCGATTTCCAAGGATTTGTCTTCCTATTTTCGACGCTTTGTTCAGCGTTCTTAGCAACTCTAATGGCTGTCGATCGCTGCATAGCCGTCACGAAACCGTTTTTTCATCGCAAGACAATGACGGTAAACAAGGCAAAAGTGCTGCTTTTAGGAGCTATTGCAGCGTCTCTAGTTGTCGCGCTGTTTCCCATCTTGACATTTGGAAGCTTCGTGGAAAACCTAGGTGGCCATTTTTGCACTGTCAACTGGTTCCCGAAAAACGCGCAGGATCGCGCGTTCTGTGCGTTTTATGCAATTCTAGGCGGTCTACCCGCAACGGTAGTTCTACTTTGCAACATAACAGTCATCTGGGAACTGTTTAGAAACAGGAAACGACGGGTATCGGTGACGAACATGATTCTTCCTGGAGCACGGCAGATGGCGACAGTTAGGTACACCGAGCGAGAGGACACTGAAACACAGTTCTCAAGAACGATGGTACTAATTTCTGTAGTGTATCTGTTTGGCTGGATCCCATTCATGGTAAGAAAATTGTTACTTAGCAATTTACCTACTGTAGGTCTCTTCAGCAGAGTGTTAAAAGAAAGCTTAAAAGCTTACGAAAAAGCTTATGTTTCTTACATTTACATCGCCACAAAAGGCTTCTGTCAAATAATATTCCTTCAAGGCACGAAAATGCATTAGATTTTATTGAATTAAAAGTTAAAGATCGGCTAAGTAAGCTATTTATCCACCGCGCGTTTTATCCTTTTTTTTTTCTCAAAAAATTTTTTTAATATTTCCTAATAATAGTTTCCAATGAACCGCCACAGAAGTCATGTTTACAACCCGATTAAATGTTTTGTCTTTTGTTCACTTTGAATTATTGAAAAAAACCTTCTAAGTTTAAGTCGTTAGGAATTTGATTACTCCAAAATTGACTTCGAGAAAAGGTGTTTGAGAAGTTGAAGCAAGCATAAATTCTCGTCTGGAAGCTGTCCATGACAAAAAGCCCACAAAGCAATGCCATTAAATGACCTTTTTAACACCGTCTATCGGCTGTGAATGGTTTTTGAGAAAAAAACAAAAACCCACAAGGTATCGAGTATCTTCTGTTAACTTCAATATTGACATCTACGTAGTCTGACGGGAGGAACGCTTCTAAAATAGTAGACATCTTGATAACTTTTAACGATCGCTATCATTCGATCGGCTCGATCAATCAGCATCAAATTTTCATAACTTTCTTGAAACCTAAAAACAGAAAACAGATGCGAATTGATTCTTGACGAGGTGCTAGTAATCTTCTATTCGCATGACGTAACGTTTCTATGGCAACCGAGTTTTGATTGACAAATTGGCCAAACTGAAAAACCCTTTGTAAATCCCTTATCTGTTCCAGTGCATCGATAATGAGCATTTTCACGAGATATCTTCCCATTACGATTACTTTAAGCGTAAACCTCATTTCCATCGATGAACGAATGCAAAGTTTTATTTTTGCCAGTTTTCGATTAATGGCGCCAAAAATTAATGCACACTGCCAGATAAAATAATAGTTGCCTTTTGTTTACTTTCAAGAATTGTAAAATTATGCTTGAATGATTTACTTTTAAAATAAATTTGATCGATCAAGAATTTCCTGACGAAAAAAGAGAAGTCCAGTAAACGTTTCCTTAAAAGAGAAACTGAAAATATAGAGGCAGTAAAACCTGTACATAACGTTCAAAACATTGGCGACAAAATCAATTATTTCCCAGCTCATACCTCTTTTTAAGGCCAATACTGACTCAACAAAGACTGGTGAAAGGGGAACACTTAATTCGTGAACACATTAGGAACATTTTTAAGTCTGTAACTTTGGAGTCCGCAAGAGCAATCGGCATCATATCATTGTATTTACTACAATAGGCCATTTTACAGTTGTGTACTTAGTTGTCAAGCCTTTGATTCAGTAAGGCTGAAGGTGACCTTGTTGAGATAGAGACCTGTATCTACTTAGCATGATAACAAAGTGATTTACATTTGAAAGGCAGTAAGGTTTGTATCATAATAAGGTCAACCCTAGCCTCACTCCCATTCAAAGGCTTGACAACCAAGCACACAACTGTAAAATGGACTATTGATCCATATCAATCGTAAATACATTATTAATGACTCAAAGGTAAGCTTAAGTCTACAAGAAATGAAGTTTCATTGGTAACCATAGGGACATTAAGCAGTCAGGACGGCAACGCCAAGGAAGACTTCGATTAAAAAATGAATTTCTACTCTTAGTTAGAATTTCAAGAATGGCTGCATGAGCTTACTGTCTCATACGGCGCCAGAGCTCAACTTCAGCATGACGTATAAAAGTAGAGTTCCAAATAGATTAATATAATTTGCCGTCGCGGTTTCGATTCGCAGACGACGCAAATTTTGGCGATTTCACGTTGTTGTTTTGCATAGGACGGCTAAGAAATGTACAAAGTTTCAAAATGCACGTGCTGAGCTATTGTTCTGCCAATTAGATCTCTTGTTTTTCCACATCCTCGTTGTCGTTGCCGTCGTGGTTGCTTAAGGTCCCTCATATTTCACAGGCTCACTCAAATTAGCCGCAAAAATGTTCCTTTTGTTTCCTTTTTTTCTTCGAGAACTAACAATCGGTATTAAGAACGTCGATTCAATGAATAAGCCCTCTTAGTTGTGATCAGTCCAGGAATCACCCCCCATGTTCGGGTCTGCCGAAAAAAAAAATATTTTCATTTCAAATATCAATATTTCTGACCCCTGCTCCTGGTTTTCATTGATTTTAGTACAAACAATAACAGTGCCCAGAAGTATGTATAACTCTTGAACGAACTGTATTAAATTCTTGGCCAATCAGATGCTTAGAATAGACCACTCGTGAACACTCGCGTTCGCAAAATTTCCCACGCTTTTCACCGAAAATCAAGTTTGCCCATGAATATTGTGATTGGTTTCTCAAGTCACAGCCTTCAAAAAACTCAAGAATTTCATTTCTTCATCTCCGCTTTTGTTTTCAGGTTCGCCTGATAGGGAATGCATTTTACCACTGGAAAAACAGCACTGCAGATCTTCTTGTCTGCTCGTTTCTTCTGCTAAATTTCATCGCTGACCCTTTTATGTATGTCCTGACACGGAGACAATATCGTCAAGTACTTAAGATGATGCTATCGTGTCGATGTAAAGGAAGGCTAAACAACCGCACTTTTCCGATCAACATGCACAGGTAAGAGAACTTCCAGTCGAAGGAAGTGATCAACACAGCGGTAAAAACGTAAGACATGCGCAAAGGGGTCAAATTTTGGCCAGCCGCGCGCCAATTTCCCGCGCAAAATTTCAAAGGAAAATATAGGAAACAACCCTTTCTGGGAGACAATTTTCCACGGGCGTAGAGGGAGTGTGAGTCCACAACGAAAAATAAAGGAGTCAGCGGTACTAAGTATAAAGATACTGGAAAGTGATGCGTAACTTCCGATCGGTAAACCCAAAACAAGTTCTGGTCTTTAATATGTCACATTTTCGCCAGCTGGCGGGAAAATCGTCTCACGTGGCATGCGAGGTAGGCTGGTTTGGCCAGCCGAAATATAGTGCTCCGTCTTAAAACTTATCTACGTTGTATCGGTCTTGCCTCTATATTTATATTCGTTCTTTAGGGCCGATCAGATCACCGCTGATCCAACGTATAAGAGTAGGATTATCGCCCACGGTTACCTGCTGAACATTTCCCAGCAAAGGAGGGAATCTGATCCCGTTTCACACACGAATTTTAAAAACATTCAAACGCCACATTTTATTTGTGGCTTCTTTTAACCATGCTTTTTTTTTTTGCATAGATTCACGTATCACGTATGTCTTTTAGTCATTCACTTTTTACGAATCACACAATAATTTTTGCCCTCGTCACTTGTTTCGCAGAATTTCTCACTTACTTTAGAAGGAAACTCTGCACACGCTGTTACTGCGGATTTGGACTGTATACTTTTGGTTAACTTGACTTTATTCTTCACAATCCAACATTACACGTTCTGTTCTACGACCTATCAATCCCATCTTCCTTGAGTTACAAAAATGCTATGTTTTACAAGCTACGGATATACACACCCAGATACGTAAGTCCGGAGTGGTAAGTAATTTAAGCTAGTTTGACAAAGTTCCGTTTTGTTTTACACGTTCTTCAATGATTGGTGGCCACTAATTTCCTGTTACATCGGCTTGCTTGACAATCATAGTGTTAATCTATGCATGCGGTTTTACTAGCGACTATTTGATTAAATACATCTTTGTTTTTGAAGGCTCGATTACACGACGCCGGTCAATACTTCCTTTGACATTCCACAAATCAATGTGGGCGACAAGAAATAATAACTTACCTAATCAACTACTAAATATACCGAGACAAGAAAACTTTATTATGAGCACGTGCAAACGTTTCGCGACACTTGTCCTTTGCCGCCCTAGGCGTTATCTACACAACTATAAAGCAGCTTTTAAAACTGTTTCTGGTCACTTCTGAGTTGCTTCACGTTGCCTTTATTTATATTGACCCTGACTTAATTGATTAAATTATTTGCAATAAAATGTCTGACTGAGGGAGGAAGCGAAGTCTACACCCAGACAGCTAGCATGAAAATATTGTCCACATCGGTCACAACCCAACCAGTCCTCATTATCGTCCTCTTCGCATATTTTACAAACTGCGGTGTTCCGTACAAAATGTTAAATGAAAAACCACTTGCACCCACGAAACAAATCGACAAAAATTTAATGATAAATGTCTATTTGCAAAGCAGTGCAGTACTTACTTTTCTATACGAACAAGTTGAATTTAAGGAAAGATATCTATCAAGAAGATCATTTATACTTTCGGCGTCACCACTGTATGTTGCGAAACAGTAACCGTCAGAAAAGCGAACAGCGTCAAAATTTTCACGCAAGAATATGATTTCTTTCTCCATTATGCTGTCCTTGGCGACAGAGGGAGCCGTTGAATCGACTTCGCATGCCACGTGAGACGATTTTCCCGCCAGCAGGCGAAAATGAGACATATTAAAGACCGGAACTTGTTTTGGGTTTACCGATCGGAAGTTACGTATCACTTTCCAGTATCTTTATGCTTAGTACCACTGACTCCTTTATTTTTCGTTGTGGACTCACCCTCCCTCTACGCCCGTGGAAAATTGTCACAACCACTGTCTCGCCAAAGAAGCGAAAAAACATCCATACGTTCATGTAAATTTGTAAACGAAAAACCTCAAGTAGGGAAAAGGAAAACTCGAGACGTTTGGTGCTGGCAAGGAGAAATTGTCCCGCAATCCAGAGCTTCTTTAGTTGATGATCATTTCCTTTGTTCTCGTAAACTTAATGCGAGATTCAGGGGTGATATTGTCACTGGGAACAGGTAAAAATTTCAAGGAAGTATAATATTTCTACCTCACAGAGTGTACTATTCGAAAAATTTTGCGATTCCGCGCAAATTAGAAGCCAACTATAGCCAGAGAACGTTGGTTGATAATGCGCAAAATTAAAATAAGAGTGAAGCGGATTGAATAATCATAGAATAACTTGATCGAATTATGAAAAAGCTAGCTTGAATATATAAAGCAGAAAAGTATTCCTCCCCTAATTGGTCATGTCACCAGGGTAAAAGGTTGTCTTTTTAACTTATTCAGTTTTCGTTCCTAAAAAACATTCAGAGCAAACTAAAGAAAAATGAAAGAATTACGATGCGGGAACGCGTGCAGATCTCACTTCTTTTCTCGCGATGAAAAGTTGTAAACATTCTCATTGCGTCACACGAATCTTTTCCCCGACTCTTCCAAGGTCCTGAACAAGTTTAAATGCTAACAGTGAAATGTTTCAATGTTTCATTCCTTATTTCAGCAAACATCCCAGCATATCATCAGCGAGTCTGCAAGCCTTTTGTTTCTCAGGGAATGAACAGCAGCTGAAACAATTACGGGAGATATTGCAGAATGCCTCGCCACACCGATCCCGAAGGGAAGACAGAGATAAACAGAAGGACAAGACCAGTTGTCTTGAATCCATTCATCCCCGAGGAAGTACAGGAAACCTCTCAAGGAACTGACTGCTTTTAGCGCGCTTGTTCCCTTACCTCAGTACTTGGCCGCAGAAGCGGGTGAAAAATTGTCTCTCCTCCCTCGTTCACCAGAAAAGCGTACACCGATCCCCACTGGTCGTTCAACAGGATGTTCTCGATTTCTTCCAGTGTGGCATCGATTCCAACCACACCTATAGTCCTAAGATGGGAAGAAAACAAATTTACTTGCTTTATCATTAAGGTTGTAATTCAAATAATGTAGAGAAATAAGTAACAGATAAAATCAGAGACAATCCGTTTAAAGACTTGAAAGCATGACTTCTCCTTCATGAGTACTCCAGCCTTGTATGCGTTCGGAAATTGAAACTGACCTGGTTCCCAACCTCGTACCCAACCTCTGTTTCTTGCTCTCATCCAAATTCGAAAACTTATCCACGATGTTGTTGGTGGTTGATTGTTTGTTTGTCTACTCGCTTGCTTATTTGAGGTAGAACTTTGTGAAGGCATAGAGAGCCATTTTAAACTTCTGCTAGGTCGAAGTCTACAGTAGGCTAACAAGACTTGCCAAGAATGACCTAACTAAGCGTGACAAAGCCAAGACTGACTAGCTTTGCGTGACCCCAAAGACTGTGAAATAGCCAAAAATGACTTGTGATTTAAATTGTTAAGAAAAGTAGGAAATTCTAATTAAAAATAATGAAAAAAGAAACTAAAGAACATAGAAACCTTTGTTCGTAACCGCTCGCAACTGCGAAAGCGCAAACCAAGCGTGACTCACTTGTTCGTGACTTTGCTGATGACAGGTATGGCCACCGTGACCATGAGTCCTAGGCCGGACGCGTCCAGGTAAGGAGATGTCCACGTGACATTACTAATACTTATCGTATTGGACGCCAAGAAGCTGTAGTAATCCTGCATTTGTGATATGATGTTCTCTTCGTCTGTTAGCTTCTTCATAAAGCCCTCATTGTCGCAAGCAAGCTTTCCTGGAAATTCTTCGCCATCGTCCGCGGTTAAATAGGAAAAGATCCGCGTCTTGAAAGAAAATATAAATAAATAAACATCAGGACTTGGTTGTTCCTAGAGCGGATGACGCTATCCAACGAATAAATCGCTATCCAGCGGATAAATGTTGCCAAAACGTAATGCGCTTTCCACCGGAGAGATATTCGGCATCCAGTGGATAGCGTTGCCCACCCTTTGAACAACTGGGGCCAGGTGACAAAATAAATAGATTCCAATTTCATAGGAAATAATTTTATCCATCGAGGAATTCGGAACAAACAGAAATGCCACAGGAAGATATTCCAAGAGCAAAGATTGACGATTACAACAGATTGCATCAAGGAAAATTGTGTGACAGACCCAGGAGCAGCTGTGATCTCATTAACATTTTTAAAGCAAACTGAAGAATTAGAAGAAAAAAAAGCCATTCCTTCGTTCCATAGATTCAAAACTTAGTACCAAACCCTTTCAACAATTTCTCACCCAAGAGTTCATGTATCTTTTTCTGGCCTGACCATTTTTAATGCAAACTGAGAATTAAAAAAAAAAAAAAACAAAAACACTTTCTCTTTCAAAAGATTAAAACCAAACCCGTTCAACAAATTCCTTACCCTAGGGTTCATATATCTATTCGTGGCCTGTACTTCATCCCACACATCATTCCAATCATATTTGCATATCTGCCCTGCAACGTAACCGCTCCTGGTGTAGTACCCTGGCCCACAGCGCACAGGGTCCCCATCATTGTCCACTCCATCTGTAGCGAACACAATGATGCTCTGGCAGCCTGTCCTGGCAACTCCTTGCAGCAATTCAAAAGCCAATTTGAAAGCTTTTCTGTTGAAGAATTGGGTGAAACTATTGAGACACTGTGTAATGGCCGAAAAGTTTCGACAATAGGTTTAAAATGCGACTTCTCTTGAGAATAGACCATATAAAGGCGCTTTTCCCTTGGTGATTTTCATTTGTATCAAAAGTCAACGGTATTTACGATGTAGTCACCTCAAGAAGTGATTAACATGTACCTTTTCCCGATAATATCCATACGTTATCCGGTAAACAGGTAATGAGAATACTCAAACTTGTCTGGTAGTAGTTGTTATCTAGATCTGACACCAAATTCTCGTAACAAATCTAGTGTAGCAGGTAGAGGGGATAATTAACAATCAGATCTTGGGAGTTTTGGGGTTAACTTGGACCTTCCCTCTGCTCTGAAATCCCACGTGTTCACATCTGAGAAGCAACAGCAAGCAACACAGAGTAATGTGCATTTAAAACTATGCGTCACGCAAACTACCCTTCGTTCAAAATCTGCGCGTGACGTAGAATCACGTGCCATGCAAAAGCGTCCACAGAGCTGTGTTTAACTCAACACTGACCCTCGTTAACATGATGGTCGCTTGAAAATTATGGCGCGGAAAGCCCATCAATATGTTCATGTGACTCCAACAGCAAAAATAAGAAAGAAGTTATTTACCGGGCGGGAGGTCCGAATAGGGAAAACCTGTGCCCTAGCTTTTAATTAAGGCCCAAGGCCGAAGTTATTCACTTTCTTGGAAAATGTAAAAGAGCCGAGCAAGTGCAGGGCCGAACGGCTCTTTTCGGACAGGCTCACGTCAACCCGTCCAACCCTACACACGGGTCATTTGATAAATCCTTTTACTTTCCTATTAATATTGGACCTGAAGCTACCCTCTTACTTGAGTTCACTTGTTCCACCAGCCTTCAGATTATCAATCTTTTCAATTAAGTCTTTGCGGTGCGAGGTGGATGCCGGTACCAGTCGATTCTGTTGACAGCTAAGCACTTCTGTCTTATACTCAAACCACCTGGTAATAATAATAATAATAAAAAAAAAAAGACGTTGACTCAGAGTGTCGATGCTTCTTTCGACATCAATCCTTCCTATTTTATATCATGATCAGTCATTGCAGCTCTATTTCGGTTGCTATGAACTTTCCTAAAATCAGCCAGGACCAAAATAGGCAACAAGCTACCTGAAGTAATGCAAAAAACTGTAAAGAATCTCCTTTAAGAGAGAGATGCAATCAATACTTCTAAGATCTTTTTATGCAGCCTGCAAGAACCAACCAACCAACCAACCAAACTACCTCTACCACTAAATTTTTCGACACTTAACACTTCAGCGAGTAGTTTGAAAAATCTACTCACTTTCCCACTTCATCCCAATGACCCTCGTGTCCACAGATAACATTGACATAATCTTGTTTAGTCAGGGTGTTCAATACTGTCTTTGCTACTTGTCTGGCCATGTGGAATTTCTTTCCCGCCATGGACAAGCTGCAATCCAGGACAATGACGATGTCCTTGGGGCCTGACGTGGCACCAATATACCAGGGCCTTAATCTGGGGTCATAATCTATGTGGAACCCGGCAAAGTTTAAGGACCATTCTCGAGTTGGGTACGTTCTGAGGAAACCCTCTATGGAACCAAAATTCTGCCACCTACCAAACAAAAAGGATGTTTTAAAGTTTACACGTGGGCAGCAGTAAAAGTAAAAATAATAATTACAATAATAATAATAATAACAATAATAATAATAATAATAACAATAATAATAATAATAATAATGATAATAATAATGATAATTATAACAAAGAAGTATATATTTAATAAAACGAGTTGCTGGCAGCTCAGCACATATTTGAGGAAAGAACATGGTAAATATCTCTCCTAGACTTATGATATTACAAGACATCGTTTAAAGAGGTAACTCTACACAGCTACAAACTTATAAACTTGTGGCCCTCATATTCAAACGAATTGGAAACAAACACTGTAAATAGACATAAAGTGTTTGAGAACCCCAAATAGCAGGAGACAGACCAGTTGGCCAAATAAAAAGCACAGCTAAGGAGTTGAATTTGGAGCAACCAAGGACAACATTCAATGAGTAGCAGGGTGGAAGGCTTGAACCCAGGCCACCAGATTACAAGATCAGTACTCTATCCACTTCACTTCACTGTTTCCAACTAAAAAGTTAACTATAAGTATCTTTCCTCTTACAAAAAAAGACTCTCAGATTTGGATGTATTGGACCTTTATGATACCTTTTTGCTACATTAATAGCTTTAATTGTTGATTATGAATGTATCTAACAGTAGAAAAACCACAAAACAGACATACTTTAGTTCTAGATAATTCTTTGAATTGGATAAGACTGGATTAAGAACATTTGATAGTGGCGAAACCACTTAACAGACATACCTTAGTTCGGGATCATTCTTTGAATTTTCTTTAAACACATTATCTAGAAGCGATGACCAAAACACAGCTTCAATCAGCTTGGGGTTGCTTCTGGCAACCTGGTCAGAGATCTTCACAGAGCTCCTGCTTTTACTCACTTTCTGCTTGAATAACCTGCAGGTCAATGGGTGGTTTAAATTTAGTTAATGCAGTTAAATGCAATTTAACAGAGTTAACAACAAAGAGCACCAGCATTTTCCGGTAGTCTACGGTTTTTGCATATGCACGTGTCTGAATTTCATGTACTCTTTGTTTGAGTCATTTTTGTGCTTTGAGCATATCTTGCAGCATTATGAGGAATGGCAGCTCATCATTCAGGCAGTTTTTCCCACCCATTCCCTCCCTCTTTCTGCTGTTTATTCAGTGTGGTGGGTGCCTATTTCTCTTTCCTGTGTGGGGTCTTATGGCTGGGTCGCAAAGATTTTCCAGCCATGGGAGAAGTCTCCATCTAGGAACTGGCTGCCAATAGTGGAAGCTCCTGTATGTTTCAGGCACTCAACCTCCCCTTAACAATGCAGTTATTAACTGTTAGTAATCTATGCATGAAAATCAACTACTGAAGACAGGGTGGTCGCATGACAATAGTTACTTAGTATATGTACTTCGATAAAAGTTGGACGATCTTAGAACAAATTGTGCTGAACAATATGTCCAAAGTTAGGAAAGAGCCCTTGAGAGAAAGTACCATACACTTAATGTGTTTCACTTCTCAAATATTTAGGGCTTTGCCATCATTAAGGAGACAGTGGTTAGATTTCAGGGGTCACTTACATGTTGAACTCCAGATCTTTAGGCAGAGTATCTACTAGATCTGAGTCAGAGTAGAATTTGTCACCAAGTTGCTGTAGAGTTGAAACCTTTGCCATTTCTTGTAGAGTTTCATTTCTGTAAAATTCGTCATGAAGTCTGGCAACTTCTTCTGCAACTTTCTGCCATTACAGAGAAAAATAACCATGATAGAAATTTATGTTTACAAATCGTTAAGGTTTATAACTTTCTATTGGGTACATGTTATTCCCTTAGGAAGTTCTGCTTCTTTCTTGCAAATTTGCATTTTTCCACCACTGTTTAATTTGTTTGCTAATTTCCTTAAGTACCTAGGAATAAACCGAAAATAACACCAGTAATTTGCTCTACTGTCAATTGGCAAGATCTGGAGGCTGATTCTCCCGACTGATATGTATAAATTTCTGAGCAGATAGTACTGAGAAGCTATTATTAAATGACAAGTATGGCCCCATGCACACACACTATTATTGAAAAATAGCAGACAAAAATTCCAGTGTAAGGGCCATACACAATAGCATGAGTAGGGCCATATGAGGCTGTACTGCGCTACACCCCGCAAGCTCAAAGAAAAAAGATGAAAAAGGAGGATGGATGGTCATTAATTTTAGTAAACGCTTATTGACTGAGTTTAGTCACAGTGAATGGGAAATTATTTGGCTCTCAGTTGTGACACTTGGACCTCATTGCACTCAGGCAATGCATCATGACCTTAAATAATTTCCCTTCCAGTCCTCCCACTCCATCAACTACATGATATTTTACCTAAAGAATATTCACCACCAGGGCTGACAATATGGGCCCTAACTTAACGGTATTCCTTTTTCAATTCATAAATCTAGCTCCATAACGATTTTTAAAAAGAACATCAAGACTTTTCTCTTTTCAAAATTTGTAACTAGTAATTCTCTTCTGTTTCTCTTCTGTTTGATTGAACTTTTATTTATGTGCATTAGATTATTTTATTATTTTATTATTTTATAGTATTGTAAAGTGCCACGAGAAGCTTTTGATGTGCGCGCTATATAAATATTATTATTATTAACCCACAACACCTATAAGCCCTGAGTCCACTTGATATCAACACAGACTGCTGTCTTGTGTATCAATATAATGGCTCTTTCAAAATTTAGTGAATCAACACCTTGACCACAATTTATGATTTTCTTATCTTGCATCAATTTCCTCTCTTCTTGACAGTTTAAATTTATACCAAGAATGAGAAAATGGATCAACATTGAAAAACTGTGAAAGTGAAAGTATATAAGTGGACCAAGAAATTTCAACTCTTTCTGAGAAAATGAACTAGTGTACAAAAAAAAATAATTAACTAAACCGAAATATGAAAGATCTTAAACTTTGAGCTTGATCACTGAGGACACAAAAAATGTTACATATTCTTTCAAGCATATAATGAAGAAAAATCTGTTCTCCACAAAGGGAATTAGCGCCATTTGAATGAATCGTTCAAAGTTCTTCTTATTATATGTACCTTTAAGACTCTTCATAGGCTTTCACCGACCAATTTATGGACTCTGCTAAAAGAATACCATCCAGCACAAGCTCTACATTCATCCTAAAACTCACTTCTTACTATTCCTACTGCAAACTCAGCGACATGAAGTCAAAGCACGTTTTCCTTCTATGCACCTACGTTATGGAATACTCTCCCCAATTCTCTTAAAAAGGGAAAGTGCCGTCTTGGTTTTGTCTTTCAAAGCTGCCTAAAAAACAATTTTGTTTGGAAGTTTTTTCTAATAACCGTGTGTTAGTTTTTTTGTATTCACTCAATTTTTAGATCACATGTATTCATGTTATCACATTGAGACTTGAACTGCACACATTAAAACATTGTTATTAATGTTATCATCATTATTATCAACATTACTATTATTATCATTATTTGTGGTTTGATGCTCTATTACTGCCCTTAAGAGAACTCTACAGCGAGTAAAGCCAAATACAAGGATAATATGTGACAAACCTCCTGTATACTGCTAGGATCTCATCATTGGATTCTTCATAGAGGGTAGGTGATAAAGGATTTAGAAGTGATGCCTGATTAAGGCCAAAATTAGATGTGGTACATAAATTTTACTTAAGAATAAGAATAGGTCTTTATTGTTTTTGAGCAAAAATACATGCTAAAACAAGAACATTTACATTAAAATAATTACAGGCTATCAGCATTACATAATATAAGACATTACATTAGATAGCTACTCTATATTTGAAAAAGAGCCTATTAAAAAAACTGTTTTTAAAACGCTGGGTATTAACCCTAGGGAGTTCACTACTAGGAACTCAGAGGTGCGCCGAGCTTTCTTTCGTTTTAGGGACAGAAGGGTACAGAGGGTGACCGGGCATACTGGAGATCTTCTTGAATAATGAGCAATCAACCTCTTCCAATACACTATATATATTAAGTTGGTACAAAATATATTTCACTTAGGCTACAGTGATTCATGAGTTTATGAACCAGTTTGAGGTGTGATTTGCCTCCTGAAATATATGCAACCCATTAACTTTTTCTTTCATTTCATGTAATCCTCAAGATTTCTCTGAAATCTCACATGTTATAAGACATTTTCAGTCTCTCTTTTATATAAGTGAGATGTGAACTTTTCTAAACTTTCCCAAAATTACTATTTCTCTGTAAATAACAATTTTCTTCTGAACTTAAATTTTGGACACTCTAGTCGAAACTCAAGATACATAACAATTCAAACTGTGCAGCAAGGAATAATAACCACATTTGCCTAAATTTCTCCTAGATGAAGAAATAACCCAAATTGCCTATGGCACCTGTCTGGGGATTTCCATCAATATAATCAAATTTCCCAGTTAAGATAAGATAGGTGACCTTTGCATAATGTAGTTGATTCAGATCACAGCCCAAAATGGACAGAAGAGAATTGGAGGAGAAAAAATAATAACAGTGCGAAAAAAAAAACGAACCTAGTGTCATTGCAACGCTAGTCCAAACAAATTTGAAGAACAAAGATCACAATATTGTGACAGATTTTGGCATTTTTGCATTTCATAACCATAACAGTTAATTTTGTCAGGGAGTTTCATAAGCGCAGTTTACTAATTAAGTGTACATTTCGATCGCAGCATCAGCGCGGAAATGAAAACAATCTTACATACCCTAGCTGCATTTTCCTTTTTGACGAAGTAGTTTCCGAGCCGTGATTTCACAGAGTTCAGAGTATCAAATCCACTTTTCTCCTCCACTGTGTAATTTGCGCTGTCGTACAATTTCTGAAGCTCGCGCGTTTTCAAGCCTTCCTCGGCAAGTTTAAGGAGATAGCTCTCCACTTGCGCAGACCAGTTCTTCACGATATTATTATTGAGACGTTCTCCGCAAACAAGCAGAGGTAATTCGAAGGTAACCGCGAAAAATAATACCAAAACGTTGGAGTAATTGGTCCTCATGGTTCTTGGAGAGCGCGCGGCGTCCAAAATTGACACCAGAGAGAATCCACCACTTCCACCGAAAGAAGTTTCTAGAATTTCCACATGAAAGGAATCGGAAAACCAAACAAGAGTAGAAATCCAAAAGAAGCCCTACACGACCTTTTTTCGTCAAAACAGATGTTACAAGAGATAAATAATACTACTCCCACTGGTGCGTAACAGTGAACTGATGATGTCGAGGGTAATTATTTTAGTAGAAATAATCGGATTTTCAGACCACATCTCCCCAATGACTCTCTTTTATAACTTGGACTGTGACAATAATCCTACGACTCACAGAAACCAAGGTCAATAATCTCCGAGAGTCCAACGGAAGGCGCAAACGCAACTGCTTGATTGTGCAAACGTGTAAGTGCCCACTACTGCGTGACACCTGAAACCCGTGAAGGGTCACGAGACCGAACATAAGCCCCAGCGGTACCCGCTGAGGACGAAGAAGGGCAGAAGGGGCCTGATAGCGTTGGCCGCGCACACGAAAGGTCACCTTGATTTTTAAGATGCAGAAACGTGGAAATGTAGAACACACTAAAATTTTAATCTCTCTTTTCTTCAAAATTTGATTCCTTGCAAAGTATTTGAATATCTGATTGCATGCCAAACTGAAATGCAAATGAAATTTTGTAATCTCTCGACGATAATTTTGCCTTCTGCTTCCATGGCCGATGGCAGAATTCAGGCTCGAATGGCTGAGATAATTTAGCTCGGTCGCCAAGGCAGCGGGTATTCTCTTCAAATCCTTACCTGCAGAAGAAGCTTTCCATTTTATTATTATGCAGTATACACGTTTGGATGCTAGTGAGCTAAGCAAGATAGGGCGAAAATTCGTAACCTATCTGCATGACAGGACTGTTAACTATAATAATATCTAATACTACTTAAATATAAATGATCAATATAAAACGATAAAAGTGTTATTATCATTATTATTATTATTATTATTATTTCTTTTCAGGAGAGCAGAGGCAAATGCGAGACGAACGTGAGAAGCAAGACACACCGTCGAGGGGAAGAGAGCGAAAAACAAAACCTTCAAACAGAGGCGTTCCCGGCTAAAGCTAAATTGGGTAATATCGATGTCCTCAAGGTAGCTATAACTAACTTCAAGGATTCTTGAGTTCACATATGGAGAAAACCCAAAAGTACTGTTCGAGAAAAGTTTTTTTTTATTCTTCCAAATTAGGAGAAACATACATCCATAGTTTTAAGTTACGATTTTTTTGGGTCGCCAGTAAACGAATTTCTTGTTTGTTTAAGAAAAGGAGACGAAGCTTGAACTCAAAGAGAACGTTCTCTGTTTACAATCAGCCAGTACATTGAAAGTTGAAAAATTTTGAGATCGTCACAGGACGAGTCTCTGAAAAGTTAATTATTCCCTTCGCTGGGGAAGGGTTAAAAAATGGAGTTAAACTTGAACTGTGGATTAGAGAAGGGTAAAATGGAGTATTCATGCAAGGAGAAGCAGCAGTAAAACTGTAAGTGATAAAAGGCATAGGAATAAAAGTAAAAGTCAAGTCAAATTACACATTTAGTTGTTTCTTGATCTCTTTCACCTCTGGCGAGTCATCGGACAGGAGGGTAAGACCACGCCCATAACTGGTGCCCCTATGAATGCACAATTCGACATAGGGCCTCAAAACGTCCACCACACTGCAGACAGACCCGCCTTGTTTCAGGACCTGGGAATGCAAGTTATGAAAGATCAGATAGTTCCCCTTTCTTACAATAAGCCGCGCGACTTCGGCGTAAGCGCCGTAAAGGAACACAGAGATGACGTCGCCGTCCTTCTCCGAGCGGTGGCTACCAAGAGGCTCTACCACGTTGTACTCATCGCCAGCGCACTCTCGGATGTCGCATTTCGGATGGGTACCGTCAGTGACAAAGAGTACCACGCAGTCAAGAGTGCGGTGTAATGCGACACCAAGGACCTGGCAGACCAAGTCGAAGTAACAGTCTGGGCTAATTTCCGCAACAGAAACGAAGCTAGTAGGTGGAAACATGGCCGGATTGCAGTCGCACCAATCCATTAAGCACCGAATAGTGTCCTTATCTTCGTTTGTAAGCGAGAAGGTAAAGCTTGACACCCTCGCCATTTCTGCTGTAACTGGTAATTCGCTATCCCGGTCGAAGACGATCGCTGCAAATCCACGGGATGACATGGCTTGAAGCTTTTCCTGGTACTGCGAAATCTTGATGCGGTGCAGTCGCACGATATCTCCCACCTTGTGAACAGCAGGCAAGCGACCGATGGTCTGCTGAAAGAAGACACACTCAAGGCCAGAGGTGGAATCAGCTGCAGTAGGATCCGTTATCATCAGGACAGAACACATGTCGGTGCCACGGCACTTCCAGGCCGGTTTGAAAGATTTCACCACTCCATAGATATTCACAACGGTTTCAGGCTTTAGATTAGCCAAAGTAGTATAACCTGGAGGGACAGTGTAGTCTGCGGCCGCTCGGGAGGACTTCTTCCTAGTACGCTGGCCACCACGTAAACTAACGGGTTGGTCAAGGGAAGAAGATCCAGGAGAAGCTCTCAGTCGCTTCACATCAAGCAATGGGTTGGGAGCACATCTCTTTACTCCGCCTTTGAATAAGGAAAGAAGTTTGTAAAAAAAACTTAACTCTCATGAGTAACCGAGACAGAATTTCTCCTTACAATATCAATACAACATCAACCAAACAAGTGATGAGAATACAGAAAAATATAAATTAAGGGATTACTAGCAGATCCAATACCAAATTCTCTGAACTAACAGCATAAGAATTGTACTGCAGAAAGTAAGGAGAATTGCTAATGAGATCTTTGTAGTAAAAGGGTTAAAATCCTTCACATTAGTTATGAATTCTGTTATCTGTGTGGGGGTGTAAATGTGCCTTTGTAGCGTTGTTAACTAAACAGGCTTTTTGAGATTTCGTTATGTTCTCCTTTCTTTTCTTTTTTTTNGGGGGGGGGGGACTTTGTTATATCAAAGCCCATATGCCGCAGACAGCATAGAGACAAACTTCTGGAAGAGAGCAAAAGAGTTTTAATTATTCTGCCTATGAACATGGAATGAAAGGTAAAAAGAATGAATGATGAAAAGTGAGAGGGTTTTAATCATTCTGTCTATGAACTTAGAATGAAAATCATAATGATGTTTAACCCTCTGACCCCTTGAACTGATTATCATCTAATTTCTCCTTATAATATCAGCCCTGAAGGTCACAAGAATAAAGGAACTGATCACCAACTTAAGGAGCTCCTGATCATCAAACAAATTCTCCTTGTTAGCACCTTTGGAAATATACAGAGAACAGTATGGAGAATATGCAAACCGATGTTGGGGTGTAAAGGCCACTTTGATAGCCTTGTGCCACTAACCTTGATCAGTAGATCCCTGATCGGCCAACAGACTCGCTACTGGGGTGTAGTCTTCAGGAATAAAACTCCTCACACTGGTCCTGAGTGACACATCTTCATTGACTGTGGTAATATGGTGGGGAATCGCACCAGGGTTCCCAGGTCTTCCATTCAGCCTATACATAAAAGCAGGCATAAATGGTCATTTGTTGACAAAGGCAGCAGTCTGAAGAAGTATATGTGGTCAACATGGTAAAGATGGGACCAATTTAGAAACGTAAAGCTACAGAGTTGGCACAGGACATATTCTTTATGTACTGTTATTTTTGTTACAGCTTCCATTTGTGTATTTTAAATTCATATACTGTAGATACATGCATATTCATATATTCAGACTGTTTCTACAGGCCCCATATTAAAGAACCAGCTTTAAGTTAAACTGGGCCAGCCTGTGTAAATATTGCAAAATGATAATGGATCAAGTTTGAATGAATCGTGACCCCTTCATTCACAGTCCCATACACCAGCAAAACACACATTCCGTCTCCCAAATTATGAGGGAGAAGAAAAACATCTTCACATTTGACCTGACTAGTGGCAAGAATTGACTCTTCAGGGCCAGCTCTCTAAAGAAGACAATTATCTGACTTAACTGTGAAAAAAAAAATCACTATGGTGCTAACGAGAACTTAATGAAAACACAACATGCATTGAGCCTCAATTTGAGAAAGTCTGGAGGCACACCCTACCACTGGTTTAGAAATCATGGTGCATAGCAAAAAAAACAGTCTATTGAATCAAAGTTTCATTTTTTAAGTCATCTGATAATTTTTCTTTGTAACAAACTTTGAAATCCAATTTCAGTAATAATAAAAATAAACCTCTAACCCTTTTGCAGGACTTCTTTGATTGACAGCAGAGAGAGTTGATGATCTTCTGCGGGCTGATATAAAAACCTGATCCTCTTGTTCAAAGTCAGGCATGAGTGTATCATCACTGCAAATTTGTGGCTCATCTATAAAACAAGAATTATTTCCTTTGTCTAAGTGGACCAACTATCCATCTTTAATTTCCAAACTGAGCAGGGAGGGGGCCCTTATTGAGAGGACCATCTTAATAAATCAGGAGGGAGACACCAATTTCCAATGGCCAACCGAAACTAGATGTTTGCCGGTCAAATCTTCATATCTATGCAACAATTAAATCAAATGACATATCAGAAGAGAAAGTGTGCTGGGTTTGTGCTAGGTTTGTTGCAGCTTGAAGGATTACAACTTTGGTGCAGACAGGAGTTCCCTTGATGGGTTGTGTGAGGGCTAAATTTATAGTTCTCCAATTGAGGTCAAACCATTTTGTTTGTATTGATCTTTCCAGAAAGTCTCAAAATAATGGCTTTGTCTTCACTTATTCCTTCCAAGTACCTAAGATTCATTAAGTGACAAATACTTCTGCTTTGCCATTGAGTGATGTTTATCACTAGGAGCATTATAAAACCTTCCTTACACGAGGTTCATACAATTTTAAAAGCACAAAAAAAATTCCATTACTGCTACAAAGACCTACTTAATGTTTTCCATAAAAAAACATGCCTCAGAATAATGTGAAAATGATCAAGAAAAGCCAATTTTTCTGTTGTTCTCAAAAATAAATTATTTTCACTGTTTTTTACAACTTCCATGACTTCTGCTCAAAATATATGACTTGTCAGGTCTGGAAAATGATGTTATGGAATTTCATGACTTTTTAGAATTACTATGAGGGTGAAAACTCTGTTTCATACATGACTCTACGTTAAGCAGCTATACACCTCCACTGATCCATTGGTCACCAAATTAATGCCTTGCATTATGGAGGATGCCAAGCTACATTGTGTAGCCTAAGAAAGCAAAGATGCTTGGAGCTTTTACCTGTTTTCTGTTGTGTAATATCCTTATCAATAATCTGGCGGTTCCCTCCAGCACTCACACTGCCCTCAACAACTGATAAAGAACCAGGCTCTGGAGCCATAAGTTGCGGCAAATCAGTTGGCACTGTGCTTGTTTGAGACTGATCTCTCAATTGCCCAGCCTTCCTATCACCATTCCAAATTCTTGTAGATACTCCTGCTGGTGACAACTCAATGTGAGTACACTGCACATTGGATGGTTGATTTGGACTACTACTTTGTATGCTGAGGCTTAAATGTCCAGCGCCACCTGCCTGTGACATGAGCACAGATTGTCCAGCTGTCTCAACTGCGATGTTGGGCAAATGAGTCCCAGGTGTAGGAGGCCTTTCGCTGCTCTTCTCCTTATTTGCTCCCATTGCTGAAGACTGCAGTTTATAGTGCTCATCTTTCTGACTTACTCCTTCAGTCACTTTTGCATCACATCTTTCAATCATAACAACAGCATCACTGACTTTCCTCTGTACACGTGAAGTCGAAGGTGTGACTCCTTTGGGGCCAAGATGAAACTTCCCTTTCTTCCTTTCAGGTATCTTAAGCTTACATCTTGTTCTACTTTCTTGACCGATGGATGTCTCCTTTACAGAGTCAAACTCTGACCCTGACATCTCATGCACAATTGTCTCTGCTTCACCAGCATCAGCACTGCATGTAAGATTTTTTCCATCTTCAGTATCATTCGCCACAGTTTCTTCATTACCACTTGCAGTATTAGCTCTCACATTTCCCTTGTTGTTTATCACCCAAATGGATGCCTGAGATTTTTCTCGCCAAGCAATGAGCTGAAATTGGTGTTCATCAGTTGGAGAACATTCTACAACAACCTCTGACAAAACCACACGATCGCCCTCTTTAATTCTTTCACCTTCATCAGCCAGATCACCTAACAGGAAAGCATTGATGGTGGCACAAGTTGACTTTCGAGTTCGCTTTTCCAAATCTTCCCGCAAAACAACCTTACACAGCTTGCCAAACCTCTCTGAACTTTTTATGGGGAAAACTTGCCCCACAATTCCTGCAACAAAAAGATATGATTATAGAATAAGTTGATACCCATTGTATACAAGCATTATGGTTGGTTCTTACTTATAATCTATCAGCAGACAGAGGCATGTGTGTATACAGTCAAACCTTGATTATCTGGACCTCAATTATTCCGATTTCTCAATCATCCCAGCTTTTTCTCTGGTCCCAGTTTTGTCATGACAAACTGACTTACTCGCTTCAACTTTTTAGGCTAGTGTAAAAACATTTTTCATCCATTTGATTGTTAAAACACAAGTGTAGAGGTATTCACAATGGACAGTGAAGATGTAGGCCATATTGTTTTCGAAAACAATTTGTAAATGTTTTGTTTCACAATTAAATTTTGCTTTCTTGATTTAATCAGTTTTTGCTCCTCATTAATATTCATATTTTTCAATCATCTGTACCCTCAATTATCCAAACTATTTTGTCTAGTCCCTACAGGTCTGAATAATCGAGGTCCGACTGTATCACCTCACCATTAGCCTGCGAAGCAAGCCCTGGGTGAGACAAGGGGGGATTGGGAAGCAAGCCCTCCTCTCCTCCAGGGCTTGCTTCCCAATCCCTCCTCGTCTCCCCCAGGGCTTGCTTCGCAGGCTACCTCACCATTGACAACAATTTTTTGCTCTCACCATGTTTGGATGTCATCTGTGACCTATAGCTAAACAGAAGTGCAGCAAAATGGATTATACTTGTTAAGTAGAAATACAATTATTTAACCAAGAAAACCCAATGGATTTGAATGCCTCTGAAGGACCAATCCAGGAGGAAAACTTTCCACATTTTCAAGCACAAAAGAACCTTATGTTTACAGGCATGCAATGCTTTGGGCCCAATCCTGAGTCATTATTAGCCCACGCCTCTAGGCAAGTGTTAAAAATGACTCTGAGAACGGCCCAAAAACATTTTATGCCCAAAAACATAGCTGTATTACTATTAATAATAATAATAATAATCAACTTTATTTAAAGAGGATAAGACACATAACAGTATAAAACTGACAAATCAGTTCTTTGTGAAAATAAAAACTGAAAACAAAGGCAAAAAAAAAGTCTGAACAATTACACGAGCGTGCGAGCAAAAATATCTATTTCAGCCCGCAAAAGCACTTCAATGCCCGCCAAAGTGACAATATTTTGATTTTGAGTTTTTCCTCATCAATTTCACATTGTTACTTTCCTAAAGCGAGTCTCGAAAAATGAGATTGCGCTATATGCACAGCATTGGATATGAATGCAGTGAACTGTTTTTCAATGACTACTACACTGATCATATTTTTTTTCATTAAGCCTCACCTCGATTGTTTTTAATAAAAAGCCGTTGAGGAAGAAAAAGTAACAAATTAACATAAGTTATATTAAACTCGTCATCCTACGATTGCACAAACCTTGGATGAATGAACTTGACAGCAATCCTGGCTCGCTAAGTTCTGCAATGAGCAAGCGTTTTGGCGTGGAATTGCCCGCAAAAAGTTTGTAATATCTTCCATTTCCGATTGGGACGGCCATTTTAGTTCACATATATTGTACATCGAATCAATAAACTTGAAACCATAATGGCTTCCTTTTCCCGCCAAATGTCGCTGTCAAGTCGAAACAACTTCGGAGATGACGAACGCAATCGATAATTTAATGACGCAACGAAATTGCGAACGGCAATGTCATGTGATTTAGCCTGACGTAATGAATCCAAAGATAGCCTTGGCTTGTCTTATATGTAGCCTAGGTTGAAATCTCGCTGCATTTCAGCTTGACTAGGATCAAACGAATTCATTTGACGTTCTAAATTCCCTGTTATAAATAAGAATCTTTCAAGATGTCTCTGTATCCGTCTCTGGAAGATATGAAGGTTGATCACATGGCTCAAGCACAGGTGATTTTTGTTTTAAGCGTAAAATGCCGACAAATTCGTAAAAGTATGACTTTGGAATTTGCAATACTCTCGAAGTTCGAAAGCGATCGCCTTCCATTGATTTCGTTGACGCGTGATAGCTTTATTTTGTCATGTTTTAGAATGAACGATAAACTTCAGCCTTTGTAGATGTTATGTAAATGTATCAGTCTTATCAAAGGTTGCAACTGCTTTATAGCTGCAAGAATCAGTTTTCCTTTCTCAAGTTCGTCACCGTGCATGCAGAAAGTTACTGCGCCAGCTTGTTCTAACCAGCTTTGTCACGTAGCAGATTTCTGGGTACTCAGCTTAAATATTTCAGTAGATCTAATGTACTTTTTTCGTTCTAGCTTTTGATGAACGATCAGGCAAGTAAAATTCCCGAGAAATCATGTAACCTTTTCCTTTTTTTTTCCGCTTTGTTCTCGCGTTAGGTTCAGCAAGCTCGCCCACAACAGCCTGCGCTTGGTTACCAAGTAAGTGATAACCGATTTTCTGAAGATCTTCCATACTTTTTTTCACCCCTTAACATCCTTCAAGCGCTTATTGAATTCTATAGCTCCATAAAGTCAGCCATACTTGTATGAACTTTGAAGTTATTCTACATCGAGATGGCGACACTTAGTACCTGATTCGCTGATGACATCACTGTAAGGAAATATACACCAGCACTTCATTTTTCATCAAGCTCTATATGAGGTCGTGGGTGGGAAATTTTGACGGCAAGAGTACCATATAACCCCATACATTGATTCTGCATTCAGACTAGTAGACTTTGTTTTTAAAGTTTTGTCGTGAAAGACAAAGAAGGGTAATGCATACTTAATGTTGGGGTTATATGGTACTCATTCCATTTTAACTAAAAAATACCTTCGAGTAATTTATAACTAATATTATAAAGTGAATGAAGTTGACCTTTGGTCTTTGAAGTGTATCATCATCCTTACTTTGGCTCACTGTGTAGGGATGACAAATCACCAAGTCCCCTTTCAAGTTCCCTTCCTATGCAACAGAGTGTGTTGTCAGTTAATTTTAAACATTTTATGAATACCACTATTCTATTTTTCCCCCAATTTACAGGCTCCTGCTCCTATCCCAGGACCTAGGCCAGGTGGTCCATCCAGTAGTCTGTATCCCTCTCTCGATGACTACATGGGTCTTGCTGTTTCTGAGGATGCTGTAAGGCAGCATGTGCCAGGATATGTGAGTAGAATTAAATCATAGTGTATAATGGTCAACACAGGATTTAGTCATGACCAGGTGAGAGCCTGGCAGAGAAGTCTAGCACCCAACCCTTTCTTGGTAGGCAAAGGTATTGCTAATTTTTTTTCCAATCTTTCAACATTTTTTTGATGGATAACCCTATCAGGACTTAGAGAGTTAAGCTGTTATGATGTTCATTACGCTTAAAAGCCTTAGAGCGACTGGCTCCTGATTTCTCTTTACGTTACCATGGGAAATGTGAAGAGATCAATGTGGTAAACATGAATGCTAGCCTCGGGTTAAAAGGCTTAAACACCAAAACTACCCTAACACAATGAGACAGTAACTCAGATGAAACTGGACTCTTTATTAAATGTTCCCCCTAAAATGCCCACAGATGTAGAAGAAACAAAATTAGATTTCTCTAGTGAGCAACAAGAAGTTACCTGCAGTCACTCATAGAAGTTAACAAGTTGAAGGTGAAATTATCACAGCAAGAATTTTTTTTGTTTGTTTTTATATATACAGAGCACTGCTGGTGCATTAGTTCCCAGACCTCAAGGAGCTGTTGCCATTCCTCAGACCAGTGGAATGGTTGCTCCAGTAACTGGGGACAACAATCTGGGCATCCGTCGGGCTGAAATCAAACAAGGCATCCGCGAGGTTATCCTCTGCAAGGATGGCAGTGGAAAGGTTGGCTTACGCGTGCGGGCTATCAACAAGGGTGTGTTTGTACAGTATGTCCATGCAAACTCTCCTGCTGCCCTGGGTGGGTTAAGATTTGGTGATCAGATTTTGCAGATTGACGGTGAAACTTTAGCAGGCTATAGTAGTGACAAAGTGATGAAGATCTTGAAGAATGCTTCTGCGCAGAGAATTGTGTTTGCTATCAGAGACAGGTAAGAAGTTTACTCTTGTTTCAAATACGATATTAGGCCTCCATTTTGCTCTCTTCTTCATCCTCGTGTGTAATAAAAAGCCAATTGAATTAAATTTTTTGTTGTTGCGTTTCCACAGACCATTTGAGCGAACAATTGTTATGCAGAAGGATAGTAGTGGCCATGTAGGATTTGTGTTTAAAAATGGTAAAATAACTCAGATTGCCAAAGATACATCTGCAGCAAGGTAAACCACTTGAAATTGCAAGTCTGTAGTTTGCCACTGTCATTCTCAAATTTTGACTTTCACCAAATTCTTCCTGCAGTGCTTAGCTTGAAATTTTGTTATTATCACAAAGACTTTGAACATATTTCAGTCATAAGAAAAAGGTGTATTTTTGGAAGCGGGTGCTTGTTTATAACTATAGATGAGAAACAAGGAAATTGCTCAATAATCTACGAAGGGTTATTTTTTTAACTGATCATGTTCTAGAAGTGTTTGGATACTGGCAGTTTGTATTGGGATGCAAGACCTTCATTCATGCAGACTTTGAGAATGTCCTCATATATTTGCACTTTTCTCTGCTACTATATTTCTTAATGGAAACTTTGTGTAATGTTACATAGGAATGGACTGTTGATAGAACACAATCTTGTGGAAGTAAATGGACAAAATGTGGTTGGACTTAAGGTAGGGAAAATGTTGTCATCTAAAGATACTTTCCTTTTCTTGTGAGCTCACAACAGTTGTGGCATTGCAAGGGCAGTAGTTTCAAGCAAATAGACTGTTAGTGTTTTTGTTGGGAAATCTACCCTTGCAAAGACTGAAATCTGGCAGGGACAATTTAAAATTTGTTTGGAGCAATGTGGGTCATTTTGTCTGAACTCTAGTAACTTGGCGAAACTTTGTATTGTCTCTAAGACACTCCTCTCATCTTTAAAAAAGTTTTGCTAATTTGAAAATTTTTTGACATGACTTAGAGACAACAGGTAAGGATACATGTAGGGTAGGCAATTGTAAAATGTAAACAAATAATTTAATTTACTTAATTTAATTTAATTTACTCCATTTTCACTGCATTGATTTTTGCAGTAGGGAAGGACTAGAAAGGAACATACGAACCATTCGTGCTAGTCCACCCTCCCACCCATCCCACCCCAGAGGAGGACATCCATCACACAGTAATCTCGTGTGTGGGAAAAATCTCCTCTGTACAATGTAACTATGATTTTTGTTTAGATGGCCTGTACTTTAAGTTTGGTCAAACAAAAGCATTCAGTGTAAGAACCTTCCACTTGTACAACAACTACTATAGCAATCAACCATAGGAAGTTCCACCAGGAGCGGGTATTGTGTTAAATAATGCTGCAGCATTGTACATCCCCAAAATTATAATTTACATTTACTATATTTTACTGATTTTATAGGATAGTGACATCAAAGCAATCCTTGAAAAGGCAGGTCAGACTATCACACTGACAATTGTACCAACATTCATTTTTGAACACATGGTCAAATGGTAAGTTTATTTTTGCACTCATGTTATGTTGATTTTTGTAGGATAATACTTGAAGTAAATGTTCCACAGGCTCAAGGAGGACCCATGAGAATTATTAACTGCAGCCTGTAAATTTCATGGATTTTATGTACAGCAAGGTCCCTGTCAATAGTTTTGATTGGTGCATATTCTCTAAAAACATGAAATGAAAATGGTTGTGTAATCCTGGAGGGTGACAGTTACAAGAAAACAGTCCGATCAAGAAATGACCCATTTCATCTTGATGAAACATAACATCAATGCACTTTTCAAGCTTGAGAAAGAGCCTTTAAGGCCGAGACACACTATGCGTCAAATCATGGTGACATGTTGCATTGTCTGCACTGTTGCTGCGACCAGGCTGCTAGAGCTTATTTTATCGCTGCAATATGTCGCACGAATTCAAACCAGTTTGAATTTGTGCGACAGATTGCAGTGACAAAATTCTATTGCCGCAACAAAGATTTTCACATGTCACACAAGGCGATTTGTTGCAGCAACCTGTCACGGTGACATGTTGCAGCAATTTGTTGCATAGTGTGTCTTAGCCTTTAAGGTTTTTGCTTATTTTGGCTTCCTCCTCTCTCATGTCACTAGAAACTTTTCTCAATTTTCTCCCATTTTGGTTGTGAAATTGAAATCCTTGAGTGGTGTTTTTCCTGTGCTCCAGGGGAATTTCCCAATGTAACATTGGATCTTTGTATGATGACATCTAATACTTTACATTCCTAGCAGTGACCAAGACAGAATTTCTCCTTACAATATCAATTCAAAATCAAGCAGACAAGTGAAGAGAAAATAGAACAATTTCAATTACCGGGAGTAGTGGATTATAATTTGATCAAATACCAAATTCTCTGAACTAAAATTACAAGCAATGTATGGCAGACAGTAAGGAAAATTAATAAAGAGATCTTGGGAGTTAAAATGTGAAAATAAGTGTCACTAAGACTCCACTGTGTAGCCAAGATATTAACACTTAAAATTCATTAATCATCATTTCTACAGTATGGGTGAAGGATTGATGAAAAAAAGCATGGACCACAGTGTTCCTGACTTGTAAAGAAAGTACATCTCTCTCTGTGGAGGCCTGCATCTATGAAGTACATTAAGTGGAAAAAATTAACATTAACTTTTAGCTACCAAAAAAAAAAAAAAAAAAACAAAGAGAATTCATGTGAAAAATAGAGTTTCTTTTATTTGATTGTAAGTCTGAAAAGTAAAGCTGGTAGGAAAAGAGCAAGATTTTTAGCGCAGCAGTATTCATTAACTTAAGTGTTAGTGTAACTTGTTACTACACTTGAAAATCATTATTTTAAAATTGTTTCCATTATTTTTTCCCTTTCACTCCCAATCAGTTTCTTGGAATTAATGAAAAATGTAGTCAAGCAAGACAGCGGAAAAGGGGGACTGAAAATCCTGCCAGGCCATTTATTTGTCTCTACTGTTCTTGAGTCTTGCACACACTAGGGGTTTTCTTTTAAGTAGATAGCAGAGTTGCATATTAAAGGATCTACTATATTAAGCTACTTTACAAACTTTAAATCTTCTTGTACAACGGAAATTACAATCGTAGCCATTTTGATTGCGTTATTGATGGTGACCCAAGAAGTCACCAGTGGTGTTTTCATTAAAACTACTTGTTATGTGTTTATTATAGTTATTGCCCAGTAATTTGAAAACATGCAGTTTCTTTCTTCCGTAAAGAATGTAAATAAATGTAAAACCACAGTAAATCATGTGTTCTGATTTTACTTTGTGTATACTTGGCTCGCCCCAAAGAGATGGATCGGTGAGGAGATAACTGCGTTTGTATTATTACTGACACTTGACTCAGCGGTCCTCTGGTACCCCCTACCCCCACTCCCCTACTTCCCTCCACCACTACTCTTGAATTCACTTTTCATAAATTTTTGTCAATCGGTCACAAGAACTGAGGAAAAGACCAAAATAACTGAAGGGATGGGTTGGTGGTAAGATGACTAGCTACGTAGTTCTTGACTTACTGACGTGAATACTTGAATAAGTGGTCCTCCAGTACCCCCATCTCCTTGGCTTAACTTTTCTCTACTAGCAAGTCAATTGGTACGCGGAGAGTACAAGAACTGAACGGAAGGGATGAGTAGCTGGTGAAACAACTGCATTTACGTAATTACTGATATCCCCTCTCCTATCTTTGTTTCATTAATTGATTTTCTCTTTCTTTTTCATCGTGTAATAACACTTGCTTTCTGCCATCAAAATATCCGAGCTTCTTATATGCTCTTTTGTCCAATTTATGAAAATATATTATAATCTTGCGCTCTATTTAAACTTTTCTCTGGTGGTCTATTGTTAAGGTACACAGCGTTCTTGGCACTCGAACCTCCGTTCTCGCATAATTAAATTGGCATCTGATCATGATGAGAATAAAATTTAGTGAAAGATATCCCCGGACTAACTCAGCGCTTGTTCTCCAAAACAGTTAACTCTTGACTTGTGAGTATCAGAGGCTAGAATCAAGCCGGGATACTCCAACTGAGAAGTGCGTGAAGTTTTCAACAAAGTTTGCGGGAGAAGGATAGTTCCTCGAAATTTGGTGCAAAGAAAAATTCAGCAGAGGTATTTTGACGACAACAGCATGGTTTTATGCGAGATATTTTTCGTGGGAACCTTGGCGGCCTTCACGTTCCTTCAGATCTATCTATACAAGAAATTTTGCGTTGGATCAGGCCGTACTCTCGGGAACAGTGAAACCACATACCGCGTTCCCGGAGGATACTACTTGGTGAAATTTTATCCGGAACAAAAGATGTATTAGGAAAGAAAAGCTTTGAGTGCTTGTGCTCAACTGAAAGAAACTGAACTTGTTGCATTTTCTGAATTATAAGAACTCGAAACTAAAAAACTGAAAATTTCATTATAGTATATTTTAGAAATTGAGTACTTCGTAGGGTTTTAAATTAGGGAACCCGTTACATGAGCTTCGTAGCAGAGAGAGGAGCTGTAGCCAAACTGGATTGATTTACCAAAATCGCCTTTAAGAAGCATGTTTTTTCTCGAAACGGGACTGAAATATTTTACGTAATCTTGGTTCGCTCCATAAGGCAGTATTTGATATAAATTTGCCCCTATATCGGTATAATCATGATTATAGCACGGTTATGAGTTTGAAAGCGGTGTTGGTTGTTTAAAATAAACATACTACATTATTAAAGTCGGAGAGGCGTAATTTATCTGTTGTACTTAAGGAATTGATTTTTGCTTCCGTATTCTGTTTATAGATTTGGATTTTTGTCGTATCTAGTTATACTGTATTTCACTTATACGTAGGAGAATAAAAAAAAAAACAAACAATTTGCCGTTGATATTTAGTTTATCAATACTGTCTCAGTATTTACATGTTGCAAGCCTAGCAAAAATTATTGCAGCACAGAGAAAAGAAAAAAATTGGTTTATCTTTTGGGTAGTTCAACGACTGAATTCAACAATGACGAAAACTCGTCCGACCAGCGGGGTCCTTTTTTTTTATTTTCTGTTATTTTTCAAGGAATTTTTAAGCGGTTGTGAGAATTATTTGCGTGGATGTTAAATAATTATTGATATTTTTGCGCTTAACACACCCTTGCCACCTGTTAATCTACTTAATATATTTTTGCTAGCTTGCAACAGTTGAAATTCAAATCAGGAAGGACTTCTGGCCTTTTATCTCCCTCTGAAGAAAACCTTCCATCTTTATACCGTTTTGGAAAGTCCTGAAAATCAGAATTCCTGAAAATCCCTCGTTGTTCGACCACGCCCTTTCAACCTCACAACATGCTTTGCGAGCCGCAAAGAAAGCTCTTAGCTACTGTGGGAATCAATTATTGATGATTTTCTGTCAAGTACGACGCGCTATTGACACAGAATTCGAATCGAGTCGAAATGGAAAGAAAAGAAAGATGATAGACCAGCCTTGGAAAATAAACATTGGAGAACACAAGCATATCGATTTATATGAGAGCGGACATATCGAAGTTGAGTTATGACCGGAACATTGACTATCTTTCTCGCTGCAGTAGCAGTTGGATTAATTGGAGCATTGGCGCTTTTGCAAGCTTATTTTATTGGGCAGTGTTTTCTAGCTGGACAGCCACAAGAAAATGGATATATAAACGATTGCCTTTAGAGGAAAATCTGGCGCATCGCGACCTAGTTTTCAACCCATTTGGAAAACTTCAGTCTTAAGAATTTGCAAGGTTGTCTATGCTGTGCAAGAATAATATTGTGGAACTTCAAACTAGCGCATTTGAAAGAGAATCGCCGTTTACGCTCTATTCCAACGGCTCACAGATGAAAAGGGCACTCGCAGTTCATTAAACAATCGGTTTATTTAAATGCAGGGTAGAAACAAGTATGTAAAGTTAGGCTCATCAGCTAGATTTAAGGCAACTAGTTGCAACATTTTTTTAATTCTCATGATCGTTTCGTTCAACAAAGGAACAGAAACCAAGCCAGGAATCTTAATATTTTGTTATTCTTCGACTGACACATTTATTGGGGGAAATAGTCATGTTGGTTTATAGAAACACGTAGAATGCAACTTTCTTTTCTCGATCAAGTTTCTTAGTACTATTCTCTTACCTATTTTCCACTTTTGGCGTTTAATGAGGCTCTCTGTAATGTACTTTATCATTCGAAGGAGCGGTGTTTGTAGCATTAAAAAAAAAAACAAACTTTGATCGGTGAGTAAACATTGCCAATTAATTCTTTGCGTCGTCACCGCTTGCTGAAGTGTGGCATGTAGCATAAGATCTTTACTATTTCACCTGTTAAAGCACACATTGTTACCAACTGTCCTTTTTAGCTTTCCCGTCTGATTGACTGATTCCAGTTTCACTGAACGAAAATTTTATTGACATGCTCAGCCATCGTGCACTCGTAATGATAGATTACAATTGAATGACAATCCCTGAATTCGACTCCTTGCAATTATAGCGATCTTCATCTTTAAGGATCTGACCCTGAATAAACCAGTCAACACTGAGCAGGGCGTATGAATATGAATATGAATATAGTTTATATCTGACCACTTGCAGCCCAGAGACTGAATTACGGGTGCACTGTAAGGTTGAGAACAGATGTCAGCATATCGGGCGCCTCTGGCAGCCGCTTCGATCAGTAAACATCAGGAAACTGCAGTATGTTCTCAATATTAAAGAAAACAGGCATCCGTTTCTTTGACCAATGATCAAATTCTTTGCATTATATTTTCTCTGCTATACTTTGGAATATCGGAAATCCGGTCAGCTGGCCAGTGGCAAGTTGTACAATAGCCGATGATCACGACTGGTTTCATTGTTCTCAAGCCTAGTAGTTTCTGGATTATTTCTTTGTCATTAATCGTTGGGTTGGATCGATTAACAAGCACTTAGTCAATCCATCATTTCCATTCATCGAGCTGAGAGTCTATAGGTCACTTAGTAATTTGTTTTTATCAAAATAAATTGATAAAACCAAATTACCTTGTTACCCCTCCCCCCCCCCCCCCGACGCAGTACCACACGGTTTCTTTAGAAACTTACCCTCTCCCCCCATAGGTCACTTAATCAGACAGTCAGTCGATCAGAGTGTCATTCAGTAGTCATTTATAGGTGACCAGGTAGAATGTATTTCTGTCAGCCAGTCAATAAGTCAGTCATTCAACAGATCAGTAAGTCAGTTGATCAGTCAATAGTTCACTCAATCAGTTATTCAGTTATTCAGTTAGTCAATAAGTCAATCATTCGATTAGTCAATAAGTCAATCGGTCGATAAGTCTGTAATTCAGTAGATCACTCAGTCAGTTAACCAGTCAATCATTGAACTGATCAGTCAGTCAGTCAATAAGTAAATCCGTCAATAAGTCAATCAGGCAAAAAGTCAATCAATCAGTCATTGAGTCAGTCAATAAGTCAATCAGTCAATAATTCAATCAGACATCCTGTCAGGTAACCAGTCAATCAATCAATAAGTCAATCAGTCAGTCAGTCAGTCAGTCAGTCGGTCAGTCACTCGCTCAGTAGTTTAATAATTCAGTCACACAGCAAGCCCGTCAGTCAGTCAGCCAGTCAAATGTTAATCACTCTTTCATTCAGTCGATGACAAGTAATTTAGTGAGTCAGTCCGTTAGTCAGTCAGTCCGTCGGTCAGACAATAGAGACCTTAAACAAACCACGACGGCGACGGCGACGGCGACGGCGACGGCGACGGCAACGAGGCCGTGGAAAAAACAAAAGATCTAATTGGCAGAACAATAGCTCAGCACGTGCATTTTAAAACTTAGAACAGTTGGGGCACTGTATGAGATGGTAGGCACATGCAGCCATTTTCGAAATTTTGATTAAAAGTGGAAATTCATTTTTTAATCGACGTCTACTATAGCGTTGCCATCCTGACTGCTTAAGGTCCCTAATAGGACAGTCAGTCCGTTAGACAGCCAATCAGTAGGTCAGTTAGACAGTCTGTCCTTCAGTCAAAGATAAGCAACTAACTCATTAATTCTTTCAATCAGTCAACAAAAAAACCAGTCAGTCATTCAGGCAGACAGATAATATACTAATCAGTCAGTTAGTTTGAGACACTGTCGAGCCTATCAGTAAGTTATCAAGCCATGATAGCAAAGGAAAGTCATTCTATTGTGGGAATTAAATTGGAATTTAGCAAAAGACATTCCACTAGGTGGCTATTCTTCTGGAATTTGGAATGTTGCTTTCTTTAGAGCGAGGAAAACCACATCGGATTCCTTGGACAGCATCTCGGAATAATGGCTCGAGTTTCAAGCAGTTGCAAAACATTGATCGAAAATAACCTTGCCAAGGAATATTCCCCACATTCCAGCCACGAGATAAATAATTAGCACCACGAAAGCGAGAGAAGCTTGCTCCAACATGGACTTCACTGACTTGCATGTGTTCCAAATGATCGAAGATTCCAGAACGTTAACACACTACATTCAGTTTCTGACCATGATCGAAGCACCAGATCACTTTTTACCTCAAAGTTCGCCAATGAAGGATGTCCTTAGTACTGAAAATGAATGCAGATATGGATAAACGTCGAACTGTTTGTCAATAATCACGATAAATGCCAAGAAAAACTTAAAATCCATCAACTCATCAAAATTTAACAAGATTGATGTTATTTCATAAGAGTTGGCTCGCTTTCTTCATGAAATTCACAGTACTGGTAATAAAAATTCAACTAAGTCGAACACATAATTGGAATTTAAAGTGGCCAAGGAAAACACAGTCAGGATAAAATTTCTGATGCACAAAGAACTCGGACTAAGACTGAATTGCCGGCATGCAATTCAATGGTCCCGTTAATATTAACCTTGTAAGCAAACGAACAACAAAATATAATTTCCTATTCCTTTTTCTTCCTTTAAGAATTATTACATTTCAGTCAACCAAAGACGGGTACACTTAGTATACTCTAAGTCGAGGAAAATCTCAATGCGCGAAAAAACCTCCAACGAGGCAGGAATTGACCAGAGGCCAGAATTGACTAGAAACAAAAAGAAATAGTAAAGAATGAAAAGATAAACACTGAATTCACTTTTTGACGAAGTTGAAAGATGTAGCCTGAATGTTCCAAGATACATCTATCATCAAGTAGATGGAGCATTAGCTTACGTGTAGCCGTACCCTCCCTCCCGCCAAGGAGATTCGGGGGGGGGGGGGGGTTAGGGTACGGCTACAATTAGGCTGATGAAGCTGAAAGATCTACTTCAAAGCTGATGGAAATATCACCTTTAACATCACATGCTCACAAACAACTAATTAAAAGGGATATACATGTTCGTTTCATGCATTCGAGCCAATGAATGATTTCAAGTGATGTTAATTCATAAACAAGCAAAATTTGTCATTCTAACAGTTTTTCATTAAGAGATAGCAATCGTCTTTGTCTCGTTGCTTGGTTCGCAACATGATCCAAGAATTGTTTTTTCTTCTTCAAACTGCCTGCATGGTCTCCATGTGTTTTCTATGGATGTGCTGTTGTCCCTTCATCGCAACGTTTTCTTTGTGATAGCAGAGATTCGCCGGCCTCTTTACTCAAGTTTGCGACTTACATCATTGCTAACTGTCGTTTCCCTTACTCGCTCGCAGTTTAAACTGACTGGGCAACTCACGAATCCATGAGAGCTGTACTTTGACAAGATTAGATGATGTGGAGTTTACAAAGTAACACCTTGCAGATGCGCATTTGACTGAATCGAGAAGGGCTTAGGCCCAGCAGGTACAATGAAGAAAAAAATTTACAAGACTACTATTGGCAGACTGAAAGCGTAAAAGTAAAAGTGCATGTCTAACTGGAGAAAAGCAATGGGCTGGATATTTTGCGCTGAGGGAGTAAAGCTCTTCCTTCACATATATTTATCAGGATCTTAACAAGCGCATTACTTGAGGGTAAACATTTTGCTTAAAGGTGAAAAATTTTTCGGCTCTCAAGGCCAAGCTATCATGAAATATTTACCACACTAAAAAACAGGTTTATCTCGCTCTCAACGTCCAAAATATCGCACCTTTTCTCGAAAACTTTGACAGCAGCGAGCACCATGTTCACCAAGCAAGGACTCTTTGAGTGCTGCTCTGACATTCACGCAACAACCTGCCGGTATTCTCCGTATAAAAATTAATGGAATTGTTGGATGAAGGTTGTGAGAAAAAAAGTTATGCAACAGTCTTGGAAAGAGCCCAAAAATTAATAAATTAATGAATAAATATATAAACGCAGCGACTTTGTGAAAATTACAATACACATCAAAAACTGAGCAACACCTGCACCATGCACTGCCAAAAATTTGGTTTAATATTTATCTAGTGTGTAACCATGAGTTTGGAAACCAAGAATTTTGCCTTGCCGAGAGGGCGCAAGGGAAGTTCGATAACCTGCCTGTCTTCAAGAAATGAGTGGTGAAGGAGGAACGAAGATTGGACTCGTGGACGGTGGAAATCAAGCCTAAACAGAATTTTTGGCGTGTAAATGCAAACAAACAGAAGCTACGTGTCGCTCATTGAGCTTTGAAAAGGCAGTTTAAATTCACAGAACACTACTTTCGCGTTGCTTACGAAGTTAATATTTTATGCGATGAAACAAGCATTTTGTCGGATTTATTGATGCCTCCAGCATTTAAACCATAAACAATAGCGCTCCAGAAAAGGAATGACAATAACAACCAATCAATAGAACGGAAAAAACCAAAAGTAGAAGGGACACTGCCTAAAGCGCGGGCAACCAAGTCGGGATTGGTTTTACTTTTGCCTCTGATTGGTTGAGAAAGTAGCGCGTGCTTTCTAGACCAATCACAAAAAGGAACAAAGCACCTCATGACCAGCGCCAGATCCGTAGCAAACCTCTCGCCGGTTCGCTTTTCTCTAGGCCTCACACATACTCGTGGGAAAAGACACACTCGTGCAGCGGCTCTAGTGACGTTTTCCTGCTCGCAGGCTCATACTTTAGGCCGTCGGGAGTTTTTTGCGTTAACGTAATTGGGTATTTGAAACAAAAGTTACTACATTTCGGAGCGGAGTCTCCACGTATATTTGTCTATTTTTCGCGATTAATTCGTTATGCACTTTGAGAGTGCTAACCAAGTTTTACGTATAGTTCAAACAGACTTATTCATAAATACTTTCAACTGTAAATCTTCTGACACATGTACACCTAGGGGAGGGGGTAGAGGGAAATCTCACACTACAGGGAAGGTGGTGATATTTTTTCGACGGCAGTGCAACGCCTCCCGTCTTCTTCCTCACAGTCTGGGGATAATAGGATGTTGCCTCCGTAGGAACAGCTGTGGAGTAGACTAGGTTACCCCTCCCTTCTTTTCTTCTTTTTGGTCTTCATGAGGGAGTTCAGGACGAAAGGCCAATATTCTCAGCAACCAAGGTGTCATTTGGAGTTGCAATGTTATGTTTCATTCGCAAGTGGCTAGCTACAACTTGTTTTCTCGTAAAGTGGTATCATTCAGGAGTTAAATAAAGTATGCACTGGGGCCCAGACTGGTCTCTTTTAAGGGTCAGTATCCCTACCCCCCCCCCTCATACAAGATACCTACCTCCCCCTGCCTTCTTCCTAACCCCCCTTTCCCCTTACGCCCTTTCCCGCACCCCTTACCCCAGATGTAATTTTTAGTTCAGAAGAGTATATAAAGTTTCTTGTGCCGGTTTGAGATCATTAAACAATGATTTGTAATACATTGTACTATGAACTAACAGTCTGCACATGGCGCACACGCAAACTTGGCGCTAAAAAAGTTGAAGTTTTTTTTTTTTAGGTTGTTTTAGGGCTTGAAGAATCCAGATGGGTCGTACGCATCCCACGGACCCTAAAGAGACGAAATATAAGAAAGAAATTAAGACGTCAAGTAATGACATTAAAGGCGCCATCTAATGATTGTGTTGAAGGAGTAACTCAGATAAACTGTTCCTTGTATTGCAGATAGTCTACATTTATAAACAGAATGGGGGTGCACTGGGGTTTTCCTCGATCACATCGCGCAGCTCATAAAACTAAAGAAAACTTAATAACAAAAAACTGGATAATCTTCAATTGAATGTTGACAAGCGTTCCACCCATAATAAAAAAAAAGCTCCAAAAAAAAAAAACAAAACAGAACAAGACAAAACTGAAAAAAAAAAAAAACATACAATAAATGGGAGTACAGTCAAACAAAAGTATAAGTATGTTGTAACTGGCTCTTACCCCATCATATCCCATCTTGTCCACGTTAAGTTTCTTTTCAATGTTACGAGCCAGTTCTTGAGTGCGGGACATGATTCCCTTAGTTTTTTCTATCACTTGCTGATAAACAGAGGGGGCCTGGGTACCCATAACCACATGACCCTGTAATAAAGAGGGTGGTGGTTAAAACAAGTGATCTCCACGAAAAGATGCACATGAGAGTCCCAATATTTTTAATCCTCAAGGGATCACTGAAAGTTCTCCAGGTCATGAAAATAGCATGAGAGAGTTATATATCACACCAAATACAGCCCATAGCCTGCACATGCGTAAGTATGAAAGTATGAAGCCTTGAGCAACCCAAGCCGGCAAAAAGTCAGCAAAGGGGTCTCCATGTGGCACTGATAATTGGTTCCAGACTCCTGGCAAACCTCTCCCCGACTCGTCTCAAATCTTCACCCGAGTGGAAAAATACAGGTCCTGCGGCACCAATAGGCTAGGCTATACAACCTAGTGGGGGAAAAGGCAGAGAAAAGGAGGGAGGAGGGGGGAACAGGTCAGGCGGAAGAGGTCACGGTGAATGGGGGCCAAGGTAGGAGGAGTAAGGAAACGGAAAAGATGGGAATGGTATCTAGTGCACTGGGACAGGGATGCTCAAAGGCCATTTTTGAACCCAGCGTTTTTTTATGCAACATTTCTTATCTGGCACACAAGCTCAGTTGCCTACATTATCAGAGTTTATCTCGCATGGAGTAACTTAGATAAAAGCTTCTTCCACAGGGCAAGAAACTTGTAATTCAAAGGTCGAGAGATAGACTGATGTATCTGGGACATGATAGACGGTAACGAAACTCCATTATGAACGTGCAGTGTTCGTTAACAGGTCTTAGACATACCAACTTAGAATCAATTTTAGCATCCAATCTTGCATTTCTGATTAGATTGACTATCCACCTCTCTGCTTCTTCTGGGGTCATATTCAACTTTTCAGCAAGCATGCTGACAATAGAGGAAAGCAACATTAAATTAATTGCTTTTAGTAAATTTACCTGTAGGATATTGGAGCAGTGCTATCACATTGTTACTTTAAAATTAACAATTCAAAGAGCACTTCAAGATTGTCCCACAGAGAGGTTAATAATGTTGACAGAAAAAAACAAAACAAAAAAAAAACAAATAACAATATAGGAATTGCCAGTAGTAAGGCAAAGCTGCATGAAATTGTCTGCGGGTCAATGCTAACCCTTCATTCCTGATATGATTCTTCATATCAAAAGAAAAAAAGTGGAAACAAAAACATTCAAAAATTAAAATTAAATGAACTTCAATCAGTTTTATCTAGCAACTCTTTAAACCCTCTTGAGAAGTTGATTAGAAATCAAAAGTTAATTCAAGATATTGATGTTCATTTATATAAAAATCATGCTAATGAACTCACATCTTGCCTCAAGTTACTTTAACTCTAATTTTTGGTTTTTCAAATTCTTCTCTAATAACATTAATGAAATTAGGTTCACGAAGATCAATCTGATGGGGTTATTTGAAACCTGATTAACACCTTCCCTGCCCTAACAGTTACATTTACCTCTAAATTTGATCAAGAAGACACAAATTTCAACTTGCATAGCATGACTCTGAGAAATACATGAACATGATAAACCACTAGTTCTTAAATATTTTTAACCAAAACAGATCAAGAAGATGAATCAAGTTTTGCTTTACTCCCAACCTTATACTGATGCACTGGTGTATTCTGCAAAATGTCTCAAATATAAACAGTCTGGCATTCTCAATAAAGTCATCCAAACAGGCTACAAGGAAGAAGTCATTTAGCAGTACCTGCAAAAAAAAAAAAACATCAGGACAGACAAAGCTTGTTTATGCAGTGTTCCCATAAAGGCTAGTCACTAGCCTCTCATTGCCATCTGTTTAGTCTATAAGTAGTTTGGATTTTGCCTTACAGCCCCTTTTGGGCACAGCCACCTAATTCACCATCTGCAGCCGCTTACAGAAAGTGCAGTGCTCCAAGCCGTGACCACTTTGGTTGTCATAGCACAGAGAGAAAAATTTTGGTGACTCATTTGCAGCAAAAATCGCCAGTTTGGTAACTGGTAGTCTGTAACAAGCTGAGCCATTTTTATTTGTTTTTTTTTTCCATCCTGAGTTGTAGTGAGACACATAAAAACTACTAAATTTCTAAAAATAAATATTTGTCAATTTATCCTTGGTTGTCCAAGTACATGTAGGCTTTAGATTTTGTGAGCTATAGTGCATAACTTCAAAACAATTGCCAGACATATCGCTCATTTCAAAGACAAGCAGCATGGTCACTGCTATAATATATGGTAATGCAGATTTAAAAAAAGGTAGTGGTTTTTCTTTTATCTTCTAGCATCTAAAACTGTATTTTTATCAAGACTTTTCTGATTTAAAGAAATCAGATGGCACTTTGAAAAAGTTGAGCATGCATTCCTGACTGAAAACAAAATTCATTTCCAAGGGATATTTCCCCATTTCATACCAAATTTGATGAACTGCCTTCTTTTGCACCACAAAATAACTTCAATTAGATAGATTATTTACAACAGCAACAACAGAAACACTCACTGTTTCACATTCTCTCAGCTTCTGCTGAGCACCATCGAAGTCAAAATTGACATAAAGACATTCTAAAAACTCTGTGATTGGATCTTTGTAGGTGTAAGATTCTTGCTGAATGACTTTCACCAGGTCTTTGAGTACTGTTCGTCTGCGCTTGTTGGTGATGACGGCTGTGGTGAGGTATCTCAAAATGTGGGGGCATGTGGTTTGGATTGCATTGAGATATCTAAATATGAAAAGGTAAACAAAAAGAAAATAAGAGGAAATTCTTGGAAAACTTATTATCAAATTATCAGACCTGTGCAGTATGTCCAAGATTTAACCTTTTACACTCTAACATTAATAGGCATAAAAATTCATACCGTTTCATAAACAACATTTCAATATATGGAGTTTTTCTGTCTTTGTGACAACCTATATTTTATTCTCTATAACATATTTTTAAGGTTAAATTTGATTGCTTTAGTGACTGAAAAGGCTAACTTCACCAGGATAAGAGGGCTTTCCTGGGAAGCAAGACATCAACTTTGCTGGCTTTGAACAGCATTGTTTGTGGTCGCAGTGAAGATCTGATAGCCCTCATACATAAACTTACTGAGGTTGGTAGAGAAACAAATCAATAATCAAATCTCTTCCTTTTGGATGGTTGAAGAACACAAACAAGCTCCAATGAATAAGCCATGTTCTTTCTTGCAGCAGTTGGAGTGTTCCAGCCTGATTCTGAAGAAGAAGTGCAAAAAAACTTAATTATTCATTTCTTTAAAAGAGAGACTCCATAAAATTATACAAGCACCTTTGAAAATTAACTTTTTATTTTGTGATATGAGATTTTAATATAATTTCAAACAACAATACTTCATGAATCTGTAAAGCATAATCTAACACTGTAATTGAATGACAGCAATAACACTTTTTTAAGAACGATAACAATTTTTTTTAAATGTTATTCAACTAAGAATGACATGAGAATGTTGAAACATGACTGTGTAAACCAACAACTCTTTTTTTTTTCTAATTTGGGAACAAAATTTAAAAGTGAAACAGGGACAGAAAAAGATGGTATTGACATTTTGAAACTTTTTTAGCTTGCTTCAGCCTTTCAAGGGACAGTAAATTTAACAGAAGACCAAATTAAGCAAATGTCGCAGGTCTAAGCATATTGATCTACATCTAAATGCCATAATATATTATTTACTCAAGACATCCTCTGGTTTTACTTATAAACTGTTTATCAACCAATTAAGAGAAGAGGAATACTTACTTTACTCTCAATGACATCTTTTAGCCTGTTCAGATCCTCTAGTGCAGTTTCCCAGTTCTGCATGAGGATTTCAGAACCTAGTTTGCCCCAAAGAGCATTCAGGGTATTTCTATCATCATTCCCAGGAACCTGTAAGGAAAATAAATGGTGTTATACCTCTCCACGACCACAAGAGTGTGATTGGTCAATTTAGCAAGCAAAACTGAATATAAAGCTGTTTTTGTTATCAATAAAAATCTCTCTTTATCTTTCACCAATTGATCTTAACTTTCTACGGCCAACAAAGTTTAAAATATATCGTTTCCTTTCAATAGTATCTTAAAATGCATTAATGACTAAAGAATTATTCCAATTTCCTTTTGCTTCTGTGTTTCAGACAAACCCATCAGACACACAGCCAAGACATAATACATAGAGATAAATCAAATCCTGTTAGCCTTTTGTTCTCAGGCCAGACTGTAAGTTATGGATCTTAATCATTTTCCCACAAGTTTCTAGCCCAATTGCGAAGTGCATGGTTATAAACTGAAGGGAAAAAAAAAACAGTAGCTGCAATTTACAGTGCAAACCTCAAACTCAGCTTGTTCGAGGTACTGTATTGCATCGCTACATTTGATCTCAGGGGTCTTGTTCTGTAGGGGAAATAACTGATGAAGTTTCAATGATAAGTTCTGAGATTACTCACAAGTACACGATAAAAGTACAAGTATTCCGCAGCACCAGAGTAGTTTCCACACTCATATTGAAATTTTGCATATTTGTACAATGTGTCCAACATTTCTGGCTCAATCTGAAAACAGATCAGACAAAAGTTTCAGTAAGTTTTGAAACAGCTCATTATAGTCTTAGCTTGTACCTAAGGTAAAAGGAAAAAAAACCTGACTTGCGTCACAAGGAAGCCCAAACCTCTTACTAACCCTTTCACTACCATGATCTTCTTACAAATTCTCCTTACTGTCTGCCATACAATTCTGATCATGCAAGTTTGGAGAATTTGGTATTGAATCAACTAAAACTCCACTTGTTGATAATTTTCTTTATTCTCATCACTTGTCTGCTTGACACTGTATTGATGTTGTAAGGAGAAATTCTGTCTCGGTCACTCATGGGAGTTACAGGGTAAAAACACTGCAACTTACAGAGAAAGCCTGTAGTCTTCACCTTAATAAATTTTAAAACATTTGATTGTATGGCTGTGTCTCACAAGGACTGGGAACTACCAAATTCAGGAATTTGATTGGCTGAAATCAATATTGAAGGCAGTCTAGATTTTCCCATCTAGATCAGCATCTAGACTGGTCTAGAAAAAAAAGGTACAAAGAATATAAAAAATTGGCATATAAGACACAGCCATATAGTAAACATCTTATTAACCGAGCTAGGTCGGTCTGTATGGAAGAATCTTGATCTCCGTCGCTGGTACAGACCTCACTGCGTTCGGTCTGTACTGGCGACCTCAGTCAAGATTCTCCCATACAGACCTCCCGCTCGGTTAATAGGAACTAAGTAATGATGCAACAGAATTTGTGTGAAGCACAAAGATGTTGCCTTTATCAAAGTAACTGTAAAGAATCTACTTTGTGTAAACTCCTGGGCAAATAGAGACATGGCATTTGATCTGGATTCTAGTCAGTATCATGAAAGTAATTGTAATGGCTATATTAATTGCTAAGAAAGTATACAAACCCCATGGTTCTTTTCCAGGTATTCAAACAGTTGTCGCCCGTCTCTGTCAAAAATGAATGAATATTTAAATAAACTAACTAAAAGTTGCTTATAAGATTACGAGGTTTTCTTGTAGAATGCAACAAAAAATTAAAATTGTACCGGCCATTGTATATTTTCTGATCATATTTGTTCTGTCATATTTTTCAGTGTTCTGCTAATTTCATGATTGGATATAATGTTTAACTAACATTGTCTCACCAACATATGATGACTTAGACCCTTTGAAGGATATTATAATTATATACATCTGATTCAACAAAAAACTGCCTAGTAAATAGTTTTATATAGATTTTTCTTAGAGCAATATTTTCAGGGAAATGAGCTGGTTTTCCTATTTTTGCAAAGCTGCTTGAGTAAGCTAGTACTAACAATGCTCTTCAATAATTTCCAACTTTTGGTTTATCTGAGTTTGACAAAAACTAGATAATCAAGTGGATAAGGAAATTCAACAGTTCATATTCAAGGCTGTGGTCTAGCAGCACCCAGTGGCCCTTGGCACCTTACTTTTGCTCTTGGGCAACTCAGGAATTTTAGTTTTTTCATGCAAAGCATATGCTGGGGACCCTGGATTTCACAGTTTCAGAGCACTGGGCTCCATTCAATTTTCCTCAGAGCACAGCCTTGATATTGCTCATTCAGCCACTATAATTCTGTATAAGCATTAAACCGAGGTTAAACATAAAATTTAACATATAAGCTGACAACATTTAAAAAAAAAAACAACATTTACCACTGCATTAAGTACTCTCATTAAATTTTACCTCGTTGTCTGCATCTGATTATTAAACTCTGGATCCTCAAAACATTTCACAATGGGTTCTGTCTGAGCCTGAAGATATTTCAGTTGTGTGACAACTTCTGTTCTCTTTTGAACAAGCTCTACAGAAGAAAGTAAACTAGAGATTTAATTTTTCAGGGTAATTCTATTTTTGGATGTTTGTAATTCAAGTAAGACAAATGAGTTTCAAAAGCCTAAATACACAAAATCTATACGTAGTTCTCAAACTCCTCAGTTTTTATCAAACAATACCAACAAACCTTCTGGAACATCTTGGTCTGGGTAGAGATTTTTGAATACATCCATGGCAAAATCAACCTGATCAATCAAGACAAAGAATATCTTTTATTATGGGTACAGTGTTCTTACAGTTTAAATGGCTGGAAACTTTGTACAGGAAGACAATATGTATGGGTATGTTCTAGTTTAAAATCATTTAAAGCTAGAGTGATCCTTAATGTCCTCTTTCAGTTTTGTGAAATTCTCTCAAGAATGAAATGAAAGTTAGAGTGCTATGACTCAACAAAGCACAAAATAATGCACTCATTTCTTAATTTCTGAGGAGTTTACTGTGATTCTTTGCCAGATTTTTGGGTTCACAACTTGACACAGTTTAAAACCAAATACACCCAAGAAATGTTACTTCCTCTTTCTGAAAAAATGAACCAGCTTCAAAATTATTCAAAACACTTTTTCCCTGACTGTTATAATTAAGAACACATATGTATAGATGCGAGTTCTTCTTTACAGTAATAGTAAGCTTCCTAAGTACATATATGTTATTTTAGCGTTCGTACCATATAGTTTTGGAGTTAACGTGCATTTCAGTAGGATCAATAAGTTTGAAAGATCTAAAAGGTTTTGGAGGATACAGTTTGTTGGGTATACACAGAATGACTTCGACATCAACAGCCTCCAGTCAAATGATTAAATTGTTTTTATGTTTATGATTCCGATTTCTTACCATGTTTGTGTTGCTAAGAAGATCTAGCTTCCCTTTGAGCAATTCCTTTTCATCGTAAATCTGAGTTACGAGACAAAAGTTGAGATAGGAACAGATTGTAAGCTTAAAATCGTCTGAGAAAGAGACATTTATTCATCGAGCTTTAACTTTGAAAATGGACAGCTATTTCCCAATAACTTCACCATAAGAGTCAGTAAAAGATCACGAATCAGTGGAAGAACGATGTAAGTAACACTTACCTCCTTAACAGAGAGAAATTCTAACAAGGGAAACACCAGATGTCGATCTAAAAAACAGCCCATTCGGGCAGTGAGATCGTGTTCCGCCATTTTGCAAACGTGGTTTTAAGACTGGTTCCCAGTCTTTCACATTAAAATAAAAAGAAGGGAAAGACGGACAAGGGGACCAAGAGGGGAATGGGAATTATTGAACACTATCGTAACTAAATAACCTACTCATGGATCCTGCCCATGCAGATTTAGGTGCAAGCTTTATTTGTTGCTAAAATGGCTCCATATGGTTTCTTTCCTCAATCAGGCGCCGGAAATTAGAGAATTACGACGTAATTGTGCAACAACTTATCAAACATCAAGTGAACAAACCCAACCTTCAAATGTGATATGACCATGAAAAGGTTGACACCAAAATGTAAATTTCAAAAACAAATCGCTCGGAGCTTGATGAAGTCAAAAAAGCATGTAGCGTGATTTTAACTATACTGTACCTTTCGCCATCATAACTAACTTTTTAATGGACTGACTTCTAATTTACACCTTGGTCTAGAGGGAGAGGGGAGGGAGAGTCGAAATTCTGAACAACTTACGCCAATGCAATGCGTTCAATGTGATTGGTTTAAGCCGGCTTTCATTTCTTAACATGGAAAGCTTGTTTCTATGAAATTTTATTATCGTGATGATTCATTTATGTACATTAATATGTTGTAATGCGCTTTACAACACCTTGGCTAGGCTACATTGAGCACTTTACATTTTTTTGAAATGAAATTTCATCGCTGAGGAGCCACAATTTAGGAATTTTTTAAACAAGTTCACTGTGCTAACCAGTATGGAGAAGAAGCAGGAGACGGGACTTACAGTTTATCGTCCATACCTGAGAAAACTAGAACGTCTAACTATTTAATAGCAAATGTCATACCAAAGGCAACTCATTCTGGCTCTTAATTCGGTTATTTTAAGAACCTGAGTATACCACTTCTTTTAATCTCTCGTTCTGTTTATCATGACAACAAGGTCGAAACCAGTAAGTGCAGGAATTTTCTATTCTTTACACTGGAAGCTATTTGTATGCGATGGTTCCATCAGTAGTTATGCTGGAGTGCTTTCATTTTCCAACCAGATGTGAGTTTCCCTATATGACACGTCGTTACAATTTCGTTAGCAGGATCTGATTATTAATTCTCCCGTCTGCACTGCCGTAGATTTCCTTTTAAAGTACTTGAGAGAATTAAGCGCTTTATCAAGACAGCACCCCACTCGTTAAATCCCGTCGCTCGATATTGTACTGAAATTGTGCGGAGAGGAAATATAACACAAATAGATTGAAGTCTGATCTGTAACACATCTTTATAAAGCTTAAGCTTGGATCTAACAGTCAGCTCCAGGTATGATATCAATTTGTGTTTATCTCAATGAAATTCTATTTCAGTAAATTAAATTAGAGAATTTGGAAGCATGCTAAGTTGTCTTTTTTTTTGCTGTTGTTGTATTTTTTATCGTTGTCAAATGAAACTTTGTAACGGATGCGATAAAGACGAAATATGGAATTTTAGCCCATAAGAATACTTGGTATGCAGTCTTTTGGACTGTTAAAAGAGTTCTCAATGGCTATGATTTACTACTCTTTATTCGTCTATGAAATGATCAACATTCAGAAGATTACACTAATTTATTAAATGATGACATTTTTTAATTGTTTTTTTTCCCTTTTAGAGTAGACCTGAAAAGGAAGTTTGTTGGGAGAACTGACGCTAATCCAAAGTGAGCGGAGGTTATCATACCAGTCATCAGAGTAAAGGACTTGACTCTGACGAGGAGGTTAAGTTTCAAAAAATGTGCGTTTAATTAATTTGTAGAGACTGGCGTTTGCTCATACCGAGTAATTTTCAACTCTTCAAGTTTCTAGTTTCCTGTTTGTCAAGTTATTTTACATCGACCGCTTGCTTCGGTAATATTCTATTTGAGAGCCTTTTGGTTTCATTTTACACCAAGATTTGTACATCAATGATTTCGTACATGATTTATAACAGACATTATTACACACCCTAAATTTTATATGGGAATGGACTGAACCTCTACATGATTTACGTGACAAAGATTGAACACTTTCAGCAAGTTATGTAAGTCACGCAATAAATTGTGGTAAGTCACGCAAACGCATATCTGCTCAACAAAAATTTGATTATGTTCACGAATGCCCGTCGGGTGCTTTGCATTCATCCATTACAGAAAGCTTTATTTCTAAAAACATTCGTTACGCGAAAATGCAAAAGTTTAGTAATGATTATACACATCTCTAGAAAGATAAAAAAAGAAGGAAACAAAATGTCAATAAGATCCTATAGAAAGATATTCATTTAAAACAATTTTTCCCATTACAAGGGAACATGCTTGACTGATTTTTATTTCCTTGTCATGATAGAGAACGGATTTGTAAATTCACTTACGTGATGATACATCATCGATCGAACAAATAACTCTGTCTTTAATTTCCCTTTCGGAAACGTAACTTTTCGACATAGATCGTCACAGCACAGAAAAAGGTTTATGACCATTTGAAAGTTGTTTAATAGGCAAACTCATGCACATTTCTTATTCCCGTTTGATTTTCTTCATTTTCTTATTTCTTTCAGAATCTGAAAACGCAGTCAGTTTCTTTCTATAACGCAATGCGGCCAAAACCTAAACTTTTGTGAGTATGATTTATGATCCGATCAATGATATCCTAAATTTTCTTTTTAGTCTCCAGGAAATTTTCGCATATATGCTATCAATACGTCTACGTAGTTTTATATACCCAGTTTACGTTCCTCGAGAAACAAGGCTCCAAACATTTTGGATGAACTTAAGTGCCCCTGACGTTACAAAACAACATTTTCGATCGATGATGTTATGAAAAAAAATGTTTGACTTTTTTTTTGTTTTGTTCGCTGTTTTATCTACTTATTTTTTTTAACACACTAATTATTGTTTAAAGAATGTGAAGCATTCCTTCTGTATGAGCAGAATGAGGTTTCTACAAGCAGCTTCTTTAATGTTGATTTTTTCTCAAAATAAATAACAAGTTTTTAACAATCAATTTCTAGGCTGAAAAATGCCCCATGTAAACCCCACACTTGGTTTAGATACATCGACGATATCTTTATGGTCTGGACCGAAGGTTTAGATAACCTAAAAGTTTTCGTCGATTATCTTAACAATATCCACCCCAGCATCAAATTCACCAGCTCACACTCTTCCACTAATGTGGCTTTCCTTGACGTAAGTGTCTCTTTAACCACCGACGGTAATATCTCCACTGACCTCTACACCAAACCCACAGACAAACATATGTATCTATTGCACTCTTCTTGCCATCCATTACATACCAAAAAAGCCATTCCGTTCAGTCTAGCACTCCGCCTACGACGTATCTGTTCTACAGATAAAGCTTTTGAGACTCGCGCCGCTCAACTTACCTCATACCTTCTCAAACGAGGTTACAGCCATAAATTCGTCACCAAACAAATACAACGCGCCGCTGACATCTCCCGCACACTCACCTTACAAACTAAAGACGTAAAAAAACCTAACCGTATTCCATTTATAACTACTTTTAATCCGTCGCTTCCTCACATCTCCAACATCATCAAAAAACACTGGCATCTACTGCAGTCTTCTAACCGCTGCAAAAAAGCTTTTCCTCAGCTGCCAGTTGTCGCCTTCAGACGCTCCCCCAACCTTCGCGACACATTAGTAACAGCCAAACTCCCCTCTAATTCTACCACTTCCCATCCTCAACTCCCCCCCGGCTCTTTCCGTTGTGGTAGAAACTGCG